TCCCCCTCCCCCCCAGGGGAAGCTCGAGGGCGGCGACGGCCCGGTGAGCGGGGTTGTAGCCTTGTGTAAGGGTTGGGGCCTTGGGGTACGGCATTCCTCGGGGAAAATCAACCAACATGCGTGCAAAGGTAAAGCATGTGCGGTGCTTTACCTTTGGTTGCGTTAACTTTGCCCATCAACGCCAATGCCACCAATACGTCCTCCCCGACAACAACAAGATCAGCGCACCAGCTCTCACCGGTCTTTGTGTGAACCCCCGGTGGTGGTGGTGGTGGCTTGGACCGCCCAAGCAACCCGCCTAAAACCGTCCTCTCTCCAACCTCTCCTTCCCCCTCCCCTTCCTCCCGTGCTCGTGGTGCGCCCCCTTCCCCCCACCGTCAGGCCCGTCACAACTCCCGACCCTCCCGCACTGCCAGCCAACGGAAGCCGTGTCCCGCTCGGGGTTGCGGCAAGGACCTAACTGCGTTCATGAAGGACGTGCAAGTTAACAAGTGAGTGTACGACTGTTCGACGATTGTTTGTCGTGGGTGTTACCGCAAGGTTGCGGTACTACAAAGAACCTTTCATGCTAATAATGATGTTTTGCAAGCGCGATTTTGGTGTTGATGTTGGAGATTTAGATAATGATTAAGATAATTTGCTGATGCTGTTAAAGCAGTTGACCAGCCGCAACGGACTAACCGCCAACCCCCCGATGCAGCGCTATGGCTTCCCAGGCGGCCAGTGCGGCTGAGGCCATTCAGCGCAAGGAGGCTGAGGTGGCGGTGATGAAGCGCCGAATGGAGGGCAAGGAGGAGCCCACGATTGAGCGGGGCGAGGGTGAGGAGGATGAGAAGGGTCAGGAGGAAGGCGAGTTCAAGGAGGAGAACGGGGCGGCGGTGGGGGCGGCAAAGGAGGCGGAATCTGTAGAGAAAGACGGACGCAAAGATGTTCAGGAACAGGAGCAGGAAGAGGCGGCGGCGGTGGCGGCGGCGGTGGCGGTGGCGGTGGCGGCGGCAGTCCAAGGGGGGGATGGGCCCCAGGGGAAGGGGGCGACGGACACTCTGCTGAAGGAAGCTCCGGGTGGTACGGCGAAGGCGGGCGGCGCTCCCGTCGCCGCCGTGGGTGTTGTTGCGGAGCTGCAGGCGTCACCGGCGGCGGCGGCGGCTGTGCCGGCTGCCGCCGCCGCTGCCAACGGCGGTCGTGGCGATGGCGATGGCGATGGTGGGTCTCTGCGGTGGTCCACAGAGGCGACCTGCATTGCGGAGCGTCATCCGGATTTCGATGTGGAGTTGATTTCCGGATTGTTGGAAGACCAGGGGGGCGACGTGGCGGAGGTGGAGGCGTACATCAAGGTGAGGACAGACAGACAGACAGACAGACAGACAGACATATGGGCAGACATTGTGTCGATTCCGTCAAGTCAAAGGGACCCATCGGAACAAAAGGCGGTAACAAACGGCTTGTCCTTGTCCACAATACCATACGTGGCCACGGCCTTACGGGAGGTGTTGGGGGCCTACTGGACCCCAATTATGTCATTTATGCACTTTGTAGGGAGGCAGTTGGGCAGTTGGGCAGTCACAGACAGACGCACAGACAGACGCACAGGTAGCTACAGCCATGGCACAGAAAACCTAGAAGCGGCAGAGGGGGGGTAGAAACGAGGGAGAAGGTGATGGAAGGTGATGATGGAGAAGATGACCCTAACCCACATGCCTTTCACTGCACCATCCGAAGCGGCCGTGCGGGGGTCTCCCGGCTGGGGCCACCTCCTGACTTCTCTCTCTCCCTATATTATATTATATATTATTATTATTTATATTAGTATCATTATTATTAGTAGTATTTGTTATTATTATTATCTAATACAATAATATTATTATTGCTATTATTATTATTATTACCATTACAAATGCCAACCCATACATGAAAACCAATCCCAACTCCCGCAGCGAATCAAACGGAGCCAACAGCAGCAGCAAAAGACACCCAAGTTCCCCAGGCGACAAAGCGCCGGGACCTCCAAGCGCTCTCATAAGAAGGGGGCTGGCGGCCTTGGCCGGAAGTCCAAGTCGTTAACGGCGGGTGATGCCGATGAGCAAATGGAAGCGGAGGACGGCGCGGAGGAGGGCGAGGACGGGAAGGAGAAGAGGAAGGAAGCGGTTGATGATATGGACGTGGATGTAGGAAAGGTGGAGGATAAACCGCAGGGGGCAGCAGTGTTAGCGGCGGCAAAGGGTAAGGGTAAGGAGGCGGCTAAGCGGCAGAGAGCTTCAGGGAAGGCGGGCCGAAAGGTGTCGGCCGGGGCCGAGAGACACGATGATGGCGGTGGCGGTGTACGACAGGGACCGGCGAAGCGCCTAAAAGTGGTTCCTTAAGGGTGCCTCCGTCAGCACCAGCTGCTGCTGCTGGTGGTGGTAAAAGGGTTTCGAAACAGAGGTGCTCGCCACCAATTTGACGTAATATGACGTAATTCTTAATTTTATTGGATCTGCTCCCGGTCTGTCTGTCTGTTTGTCTGTCTGCCGGTGGGCGTAGTAATGTGCTTTCCTGACGGCCGCCGTCCCCTGTACGTCCCCTTGCTTTGTGTTGTAAGGGGTGCACTGGGGCAGCATCGGAGGGGGACGCAGGGTCTCTCTGGTGTCCTCCAGCTCCTTTTTACTGCTGCTGCTGCTGCTGCTGCTGCTCGCTGTGCCATCAGCTGTGCGGGCGAGAATTTCTCTCCAATTGTTTCCACGTGGCAGCGCGACAGGGGACGGAACGAGGGTGGCGGGGGAACGGGTTAAGAGGTGCAATAATATTTTGTAGAGTGTATTTATTGAGTGCGCCCCCGCAGGGGACTTGGCTCACCACGCAACAGTATGACCGACATCAAACAAGTTCAGCCAGGGGAAGGGGGATGTGGGCCCCACCAAGGTGCCTGACGGCAGGGATCCCCTCGACGGCTGTTTTAGAAGCCGGGCTGGTCGCCGCTCCTATCGTTCGGTGGCACAGTTTTTTTGTGCAGGTCGCGGCGTCTCCCGAGCCTTATTCTTGTAGTATGCCTGTATGTATGCGACCGTAATTATGTATGTGTGTATGTACGTGTACATATGGCCGCTCGGCTGACTAGAAGCAACTAGGACAACAATTACAAATCGTTTGGATTGTGTCGATGTGAGACCTACGACTCATGGCCTTACTGATCAGACACCTCTCACCTCTTTTTGCTTTCTTGAATTGTTCGACTTTCCTTCTTTTTAACTTGTCCGTTTGGATTAGTGTGGCTGATGAGGTTGCACGGCGAGCAAAGATTGTAAATAATCGCAATCCCGACACAGAACTGCTGTTGCTGCTGTCGCAGCCGGGGTGCTGGACGTGGGTTTGCGTGTTGCAAAGCGCTCTCTGCTTGCGAAGACCAAGCAAGGCACGGGGCCATAGTAGGGCCTTCGTGTCAGGGTAGGAAGGTAAGAAGGTGGAGCGAAGGTCTTTCCTTGTGGTTAGCCCCACCACGGCGTTGTGACCGTTGTGACCGTCATGGTTTGAACTGTTCTTGGGAGGTGGAGTCGTCGTAAGGCTTCATTGGTAATGAAGTGCAGTTATCGGAAATGGCCTGTGGGGCTGCTAGAGATGCGCCAGAGTGTGGTCCTAGGGGTGTACCGCTTTGGTCGAAGAGGGCTGTTGTGTGCGGCACAGCTACGGGCAACCGAATATTTCAAGTATCTAGCAAACGAATCAACTTTGGACATTGGTCAAATGAATTGTATGGAGATTTTTTCCTCCGTCTCCTGATCCCTAACCCTGAAGTTAACGACGGACAAATTGTGACGTGTAATTGCTTGAGATGCCGATCGACCACGGAGATTCACATTGGACGATCGTGCCGTACATCACACCTCGTTTGGTTAATGCCCTGATACAGAAAAATATGATCGAGCGAGTATTTTTCAAAGCTCATGTACTCATGACACGCATGATTTTCCGCCGAAGATCTTACATGGTATAATCCAGCTCAATTTCGCGTTGCGGCCTCACGTTTGACTCCACGTGAAAATCAGCGGGCAAGATTCGTACCCTCTGAGCGCTAATTGGCAATTCCTGATTGGCAGTTCCTGTAAAAACACGTATTGGCGACGAAGGGCGGTTGCGTAGTGCCGTGAAAACTCCGAGAGGCTCGAACGGCCCTCGACCTCCGGGCCACAAACATCAAGACGAATTGTTTTTGAAAAGGGAAAATAGTACCGTATGATTTCCCTTGTCGTGGTAGTGAAATAGGCCTGCAGCCGCTGTTTCGGGACAAGGACACAGCGTGGTCTCAAGCACGCTTTGCAAACATCCGTTTGCATTTTGGATACACGTTTGATATTCCGTGAATTGCTTCCTAAGTTACTCGCCATTCGTTTAGCTTATAACGCTTGTGAACTCATCAACACCGTCACAGAATGCGAACCAGTATCGCCTGCAGGAGGCTTGTAGCTCTCAGCCAACACTCATGTGTCACTAATTCAGCGACACACGAGCTCACAGGTGCAACAATGGCAGCGTCGTTAAGGCTTGGTGCCGTCGCTTTTCCGGCAGCGAGCGGCACCCTTGCCGCGATATTCGCCAGGCAGCAATCTAACGCAGCTGCCGGTAGCAGCTCTAGCTGGGAACAACTCAAAAACGATGGCGTGCGGGTGAACCCTTGCCAGAGCCCACACCATCCCGCAGCAATTGAAGGTGTTGTGGAGCTGGAAGGAGAGGAGCTCTCTGTGCAGGTCAGTCCTGTTCCTACTCTGACAAGCCGGGGCTTCCTTCCGACACTTGAAAATCCATCTACGTGGTTTTGAACGTCGCGCACCTGCAGGAAGCTTACAATCCCGACTCTCGGTGCTTTGGATGCGGTGAGTCGCCTGCTCGGGGCTTTTGCTGTCAGAGGGATCACATGGCCTCTTAGCTGCTGCCTTCGGCCCCACTGCCCATAAGAGCCACACTGGCAGGGGGAGTTGCAGGATCCAAGCCCCGCCTAAACGGGCATGGTCGTACGGCACATTAAAGCAATGCGGTGCAAAGTGAGTTATTGTGGCCATGGTGTCGCAATTGTGGCTCGCGTATTGGTATCCACTACGTTCCAAGGTTAGAAGCTTCCCAGCATCTATTCAGAACATCCGCATGTTGTAGCCGCAGCGGCAGTAGTAACGGCAGAAGCAGTAACCTCAGGTAATGACCACCCCTGCCCTCCCTCTCTCCTCTCTCTCTGCCGTCGCTCTTTCCTTTCCCCCGCTCTTCCGCCTCTCCGCCCCCTTTTTCCTGTAGTAGTTCATTTCCAGATCATCCCACCGTTCCCTTTGGTGACTCTTCCCCGCCCCGCAGGACATGCTCACCCCGACGGTCTCCACGTCCAGTCTCGGCGTATTCCCGGGGAGGGCCTCGGCCGGCTGGCGGCCAACATCTCATTCGACGCCAAATACTGCGCCTTTCCCGGCATCATCAACGGGGGGGTGCTCACAACCGCCATGGACTGCCATGGTAAGGTGCGGGTGCGTGGGTGGGTGCCGGGGGGGGGGAGCGGATGAGGCGGATGAGGCGGAGGAGGAGAGCTTTTGAAAACGGTAGGCTAGGGGAGTGAATTAGTGGCGGACTTGGGGAAAGCTGGATGAACTACGATGTGCTCTTATGGGAGAAAGGTCCTAGGGGCTGAGGGTTCGTTGGCGGTTGGTTGTTGGCGGTTGGCCACGAATGGAATTAGGAGGCGCCAGAGACGGAAGCGCCTGACGGTGATGCCATAAATAAATGAATAAATAAATAACGGCAGGCGGAATCATTTAAATCTGTTGCACTCAGCATCCCACACACACCGTCAGTTCTTACACATGGCGGTTTGCAGTACATGTGCACTACACTTGGTACGGCAACGCACGGCATCCGCATGCATATTATTAGCTTCTTGTGCGCGAGCGTCTGGTGGGAGCCAGCATATTACCATTGTGGCGGCTTAAGCAGATCACGTCGGTTGGTATTGTCGGTTGACGTCCAGTTTTGTTCGGTTTTATCTTCGTTCCCCCCGGCAGGCAATTGGGCGGCCGCGATTGCCCTCATGGACAAGAGCTGTTTGCCTCGCCCTCCCTTGACCATGACGGCATCCATGCAGGTGCTTGCGGGACTAGGCCTCGGTGCCTCGGAGGGAGCGGGGGAAAGAGCTAGAGGGGGAGTTTGGGGGGCGGATGAAGCGCTTGTGTGAGTTATGGAGTGTGCGGATGGGTAGATCCCGTGTGTCAAGAGCTCCATTGTCAGACGGGTGAGGGAACCTTAAGGGAATTACTCGACCGACCGACCGACCTCAGAGCTATCTTCTCTCAGTGCCTTAAAACCCTTTAGTGAGCCGAGTTGGTGATTCCCAACCCACACATCGCATCTCCCACACACCGTACGTTGCACACCGGTTGCCGCCCGGGGGCCCACAGGCGCCAAACCTTCTCTCAGTGCCCCCGGCCAGTCCTCAAACCCAAACCCGCACCCTGTTGGCGTTCTCGCCGTATTCCCCGCCACCTGTACACATCGCATCGTGTCGCGATGAGTCATGTGGTGGCGCGCGTTTTCCTCTCCCAACCCCTGCGTCCCGTGTTTTTAATCCCTGTACACGTTTCTCGATCCAGATTCTTCCTAACCCCCACCGTGCACATACCCACATGCAAACGCACGCGTTCCCACCTGCATACCCCCGCCCTCAATAGGTTTCCTTCCGCGCGCCCACGCCCCCGGACACTCCGCTGGTCATGCGCAGTCGAGTACTCGGCATTAAGGAAAACACGAGCGGGGGTCCCCCCCGGGCGACTGTGGAGGTTGAGGTGGTGGTGGTGCAACCTGAGCAGGGACCGCAGGGGGAGGAGGAGCGAGTGCTTGCGGTTGGCACTGGGATTTACAAGCGGCTAGGGGCGCTGCGGTCCTTGTAAATATGGTGCGTGAGCTAATGGGTGCTTTTTTTGAAGGAAAAGGCCGGAAAGGGGAGGTGTCTGGCAGATGGGGGAGGGTGTTTGAAACCTGCACATTGCAGGGTGAAGCACGCACAATCGGTGGGATTTTTTTAAAAGGTGATGGGAGTTTGGCTTGGTGTGGCGATATGGAAATTGTAGGTTTGGGATTGGGCATGGTGCGTGGCAAAGAACCGTCTCAGGACACAAGAGGTGAAGAGCAGGAACGTACACATTATGTGTAAGGTAATCGCTCGGTTGTTGCCTAATATATCAGATGGATAGAGGAGTTGGATCATCGTTTTGACATGATATACTACCGTGTCGTGTGATGCTTCTAGCTCAAAATACAACCATGCCTTCCAAAATTATCAACCGTCTTAGTGTTTTAGTTCACAGTTAACTGCGAGGGCATTTACATCTTGGAGCATGCGTGGGTAAAAAGCCTTGTCCCTCTGCCAGGTATGATCCAGGTAAAGCGATTGGCTGTTGAGCAAACTCACTTGCTGTTGAGCCCGAGCCCTAAGTTGCCCCTGTGACATTGTTTACACATTCTCCTGATGCTCCCATAGGCACATCTTGCACCGTCTCAGCCGACGGTGAATCCGCCTGCTTGACCGGCCTTCAGTGAACCCCGCCACATCCGCAACAAGACCTCCTGCCGACCCGCCAAGCGCGTCCCCTCCCAGCACCATGCTAGGGAGCGACATAGCCACAGCATGCACCCTAACATTAGCTAAAGCCCCGTGACTTCATCACATGCCCCCGGCAACTACGGACGTAATGTGCCCCGGCTGCAGCGGAAGGGTCATACCGAGCGGTCGGAGAATGTCACCCCACGAATTCTGCCGAGCAGTCCCGCGCCAATACCTTCAAAACTTCACAACCACCGCTTGGAACCTCCACAACGTATGGCTAGCCAAACACCCCGCTCAACCAGGTCGCGGTTGCGTAGTAGTACTAAACTAAGCCGCTCCTGTCGCTGCACCCCTGCAGTCCATTTCATACCCTCTCCGAATTAACCGCAGCCATCCAACCGCGGCAGCGGCAGCAACTGTCAAAAACACACTCAGATGCCCCCTTGAGTGGCTGAAGTGGGTCGAAATGGACGAGGGACTGGGACTGGAACATCGCCGTCAAAGCGAGGATTGACCACCTAGCCACATCAGCATTACATTGTGAGCTCCATGATTGCCGACACAATGTCACCCTCGGCGTTTTTAAGCGCCTTAATGGCCTTGGCACGGCTGACGTTCGCTTGCGTCATGACCAGCTCAATGTCCTTCTGCTCAACACCGCTGTCATCCACCTCCTCGTCATCGTCCTCGGCCTGGCCGGCTGCCGCGCCAAGTGCCTGCGCAGCTTCTGGCTCGGGGCGCATCTTGAACTGCTCAGCAGCGGCGGCCTGAGACTGAGCGCTCAAGTCCTCGATCTTGGCCTGAAAGATCATACATGGAAGGAAAACGCACAAACGTAGATGCACTGTTGGTTGTCCACACGCAATGAGAGAACTATGTCTCTACGTTATCAATCAGGATGAAGGTCAGATGTGAAGCCTCTGCCAGGCAAAACCTGACTGCATGCATTCGCAACCCTACATAGCCATCATCAGCCAGTGATAGCACCAGCTACACACGGCTACAAGGCCAGCGGATGCCCCTGCCTGGCGAGGGGTACCTGAAAGCTGGACTAGTTCTGCTGCCTCAGATACCAGGGGAATGGAAAACAAGGCTCATTCATGCTCCGGCGCGCGGCCAAAGGGCAAACCATGGATCGACTTCCAGGACGGACAAACCCGTCTCTGCCATGCCATGCCATCCCAGGACTTTTACAGGAGGCTTACGTAAATGCTCTAAGCGCAGCTACTCTGCAGGAGTGCTTGGCGTTCCCAGCCCCGCAAGCTTTTCATGAGTTCCTCACGGCTTCGACTTCGGCCCTTTTGCCTGCACAATCCAGTGACATCCTCCACTAAAGACTCAGCCGGACTAAAAGATGCTATATGGAATCCCTATCCCTTAACCCCCATATCGCCATCTGAGCGGCCGCGATAACACCCTCCTCGCCACCCACCTCGCCGAAGATGATGTAGGTGTCCGAGGCAGGGCTCTTGAAGACATCTGGCGACTGGATCACGAAGAGAATCTGTTCACACGAGGACGGGCAACGCACATGATAATGCACATCGCCATAGCGATGAGAAAACCACCATGGCTGTGTCGGAGTATGGGGGTAACGGCGTTACAAGATCGTGTCCTGTCCACTGCCCAGACAAGCCAGTGATGGCGCTAAGAGCCTTCAAGGCATTCCCGGAGGGGGCTGACAATTGCATAGAGAGAGCAAGTCGGCCATCATATCCTAAGGGATGCTGGTTAATAACCCGTTAACTAGTCCATCCACCCCACGGATCTCTCCGCCCCATGCGAAAAGCATGTCGCGCCAGGAACACATGCATCCCGTAACAACTTACGTTCTTGCTCTTCTTAATGGTGACTCGAGTAACACCCTGCACTGGCTTCATGCCGAGCTTCTGCATAGCCTTGCGGCTCTTCTTCTCGCTGCGGCTTTGCTTACCACGTGCGCCACCACCTTCCTCATCTGCATTGATGCAAAAATAGAGGCACATGTGCATGCACGCGTCATCTTCGGTGCAAGTCCAAGCGCCAGTCTAAGCGCCAGCGCAAGGAGGTCTGCTGCCCGCCCAAGGCGCACCCAAAGGCACGCAGCTTGTCCATAATCATTTCACGCACGAGACACGATGCTGAAATGCGCAATAACGCGGCCCATATATCCGGTGGAAGACTCCGAAAGGATGACAGGACACATCCTGTATCGTTTCCATTGCAACCAAAGCTGACGATAATTGAAATCACTTGCGAGCATTAACCCAAAGGATCAAGGCGGAACATGCAAGAGTTAAGGCTTTCCTCAGGCTATCAGGCGGCTGCTGGAGGCTTTATGGCCTACGGCCATATAAACACGCAAGGAAGGATAATAAAACTGATAGCCATGAATATAGAAGACCTTCCGTGCCATCCCTTCCAAACTTCCTTCAGGCGCTTTCGATCTTCAGCCGCCGGCGACTTACCACCCTCGTCGAGGTCACCCTCCTCATCGTCGTCGCTAAGATCCTCATCATCGTCCTCCACCTCCTGTTTCGCGCGGAGCCAGCTAATTAGTACAACACACTCTGACGTGAAAAGTCACTCTACCTAAGCATCTCACCTCGACGCCCTCCTTGGCCTCAAACTCCTCCTTGGTCATTTTTTAATGCGACGTGTACGTCGTGTGGGGGAGAGGCACAGTAGAAAGGGAGGGAGAATGATCATGCGCGCCACTTACAGCAGTTGGCCCGTTGGGCCCAAATGTAGTGCAAAATGTAGTGCAAGCTTTTGCCCATTCCCCCGGGATGCTGTCCCTTAGTTGTCTTGCATCGACGTGAGTACAACTTTATCTGTTTATCCATTAAGATAAACCAACACTTACCCGGCTCTGCGCTGGACGTGTCGGTGCACATGGCTCGGCTCGAGGCCCTCATTCTCTAGGGTAATCACCGAAAGTGCCCAAGCGCACTTAGTTACGTCATTTCAGCATGTTGACTCTCGGCGGGCACCGACCTGTGAGAATCCGGGTGGGTTGCGCCGGCGTTTACCATGTGGCGCGGCGCGCACGGCGAGGGCTTGTTCCATCGCACTTGCCCCTGAGGAGAAGGCTGCTATTGGAGGCAAAGCGTGCCGGAAGGTAAGGGCGTCACGGCTGCAAGCGATGGCGAACACGGCGGCTGCTGTCGGCGTCAAAATTCGGTCGTGTGTTTACTCACACAGCGAAATTTTACGAAATTTTTCGGAATTTTATAAGTTTGCTTGCTGCATCAACAACGGATTATCGTGTCGGCTTTTAAACTACTTTGACCGGGCGAGTGTGGCTGCATCGCAAAGTCCACGCCCGGCTGCTTTTACGCCCCACTTGCTGCAGCGAGGCTCAGACTCTGGCCGTTTCGTCAGAGCGCTCGGCTCCCATTAGATCTGCCGCCTATGACGCATCCCTTTCACTTAGTCATGTCATTTCTTACAGCGCTATTCCATCGGCCGTGCCTTAACCTGCCTGTCCATATTCCTACTCTCACCAAACCCGCAGATCCCCAGCCGCTGGCCTCAACGACAGCGATGACGAGTCCGCAGAGGCGTCACAGGCCCGCGGCCCCCTCCCTCCTGACGGAGCGGACGACCTGCAATTCTGGGAGGCCCAGCTGTCCCAGTTGAGCTTTCGGGAGTTGCAGCTGGAGCTCCGAGACCGCGGCCTCAGCGCCGGCGGCCGTAAGGACGAGCTTGTTACACGCCTGGCTGAGGCCCGGCTCCAGGAGAGCATGATGGCATCGGACGGCAGTGAGGAGAACCCCGATCAGCAACAAGAAGAACAACAACTACTACAAGACGAGGAGGACGTGGAACTAGACGAGGGGGAGCTTTTGGATGCCGTACTGGACCGTTTGGAGGAAATGCCGTACAATGATCTTCGGCGGATGTGCGCGCAGCGGGGCCTCGACGTGTCTGGCAAGAAGCCCGATTTGCAGGTACGAGCACGGTTGGTAGTTGGGGGTTGTGTTAGGTGCGTGCGGTTGGAAACAACCAACATTTTGGAACGGTTGCGGCATTTCCTCCTTGGGGGGATAACAGTTGCTACGATGGTTGGGGGCACCTTGCTCTCCGCTCTCTTGCCTTGCGCCGGGGGTTTCTGGCGGCGCACTGCATTGGCTTGGTTCGCCAGGTTCTCGCCGCGCTGGTCTGACCCTTCATGTTTTCCTCGGCTTGGCGATTTGGACTTTGCCTCCTCCAGACGGCCGTGTTGTTTATTTGTTGTGAACTATTTTTAACACCTGGTCTGGTCTGTAGGAGCGGCTCGCGCAAGATTTGCTGCAGTCCGGGGAAGATCTGGAGCCGCTTTTGGGTATCAGGAACGTGGCCACGGAACTACCAGGGGAGGAGGAGGAGCAGGAGGAGGAGGAAGAGGTGCCTGGGTGAGCGGGGTCGACCGCACAACGCGGCAGGGTGATTAGGAGGAGGAAGACAGGGATGGGGGGGGCTCGGTTGGGCTGGTTAAGAGCCGTGCATGTTCTGACAGGGGGCATGTGCCGTACAGGGGAGGGCTGTATGGGGCCGGCTACGTTGTGTTGGATGGCAGAGCCGGGGCAACGCTGCAGGCAGCAGTACGGCGAACACAGGCAGCAATAAGGCCCTCTTAATTAGGAACGAGGAGGGCAGTTTGGCAGTGTCGTTTCTGTCGCTGACGCTGCTATGGATCGTTTCGGCGAATGGTGATGGTGGCGTTGATTCTGGCGAAGGAAAAAAGGGAAAGGTCAGGAACGTTGTTTAAAAGGGGGGTTCCTATGCTTTCCCAGCCTGCCCATGCCTGCTCTCCTGGCTATTTCTTTTTCCTCGTTATCAGTTTCCTCGTTATCCTTGCCCGTCTCCTTCCGGGCGGCCATTTGACCCGCTGTGCCGATTTCTTCCTAAACGGCCGGTGGGATGAAACACCGCCACACAACGAAACACGAACCCCAGCGGCCGCACCTCATCCCTCCCCCCTTCGTTGGGGGACCCCCCCCGGGGCCGGGCTCCATTCCGTTGCCTGCGTTCTGGGGGGGGGGCTGCGGGGACGGACATGACACTTCCGAATTCGTCCTGCCTAACTGCTTGGCTCCTCATGCTGCTGGCTCCTAAACCCCTGAAAACGCAACTGACCACAGCGACCATCACCCACAGCCACATCCACATCCATTGCAACCACCGCAACCAACTGCCTTGTGCACCTACTACCGCAGCCACTAGGGCAGCCCCATGCATCTTTGGCGCGGTGGGGCCTTCAGCGACCTTCCCGTCACCACACCACTGCAACGATAAGAACAACAAGAATAACAAACGAACATGAATATCCTTTAGGAGAGGGCGCAGGCGCCCATAAGCACGGGCGCGGCGTAACTCTGGAAGGGCGGGGATGGCAGGGTCGCTTCCTTCTCCCTGCCGCCATCTGAGCGCGTGGGGGGTGTGGGGGGGTCCTGCCTGTCCGATACCATGTGCCCTCTCACCAGCTGACTGCCGTACGCCGTACAGCAACCTGAATCCGTCTCACTTTGCCCCCGGACCGCCTATACACCTTCCACGGGTCGGGGGTCATTCTTACCGGATACAGCAAGATGCATTTATTTCTCCTTTCTCTTGTGTGTATCATGAAATGGCGGGAAATAATTTAATTTTTGTGGATGTTTAAAATACAGACCTCCTTTCCGTTTTTCTCTTGCTGTTATTTTTGAATGGCGATTGAATGTCTTGAGAGCGCTGCAAAGTGCGTACGTCCTTCCGCAATCACATAACCGCCGCTGGGAGGGACGTTTTGTTGTTTTTCCGCTCGTCGTCATCGCCCTATCACCTGCCAACCTTCTCCTCCACTTTCCCCTTCGTTTCGCAGCTCTTCTCCGTCCGCACTCCCCGGTCTGTCCGACGACCCCGCCTCGCTGCTTCCGGAGCTGCTTCCTTTGAAGGTTTCGGAGCTGGCCGCCCTCCTGCGGGACTACGGAGCTCCCACCCGGGGCAACAAGCAGGAGCTGGCGATGCGGCTGGCGGAGTGCATGGTGGCGGAGGTGAAGAAGTGAGTGGCATTTTTGAGTGGTTTTCGACCTGCGATGGGGCCAGAGAGAGGCTGAGGGACAGTACATCATATTCTGCGTCTACAGTCCTACGTAAGCTAGGTATCGGTAATCGGTTCCGTGCTGGTGTTGCTGCTTTAGGGAGATTGGTGCTGGTCGTGGAGGGACAGTGCCTTCGCGGCAGTACGACGATGAGGACGAGCAGGAAGAGTACGACGAGGGCGAGGCTGAAGAGGAGGAGGACGTGGTGCAGTTCGACCCGGCGGCGATTTCCCCTTCAGATCGCAAATTGCTGTTGGCCGAGATATCGGGGCCACTTTATCGACAGAATGTGAACATGACACGGCAAAAGCTGTTCAATGTGGGTTTCGATATGGTAATCTGGTATGGGATCTGGTACCGGCTTTGGTGTGGCTCTTGGTTGTGACTGCGCCCTGTATGGATTCCACTTCTGTTTTGCTTTGTGTATGTATATCTATCTATATATTTGTGTTTTTTTGGGGGGGCCCAGGCCCTTGCGAGCCAGCTGCATGTTTGTCTGTATGTCTGTTTGAGAATAACTCTTTGGTTCTGATAATGGTTATCTCATGGCGTTGTCTTATCCGCCCCCTGCCTTCCTCCCCTTTTCTTTCCTTCCTCCTTTTCCTAACCCCCTTTGAACAGACTTTGAAGCAGTTGCAGCGCAACCCGAGCTACCAGTCCAAGCCTGTGTTGTTGGACCAGCTGGTCCGTTTCCAAGCAGAGGAGAAACTGGAGGAGGAGATTAGGGTAAGGTGGGGCTTGGATCCAGCGAAATTCAAATCTTGAAATCCAGCTGTCTTTCGCCAATAGTATCTCCGCGCTGCGTTACCTTGTTATGAAATGAAATGCAGGAGCTCCGTCCGGGTATAAAATCGCCCCAGCTTGTCCTCACCCAGGCAAATGTGACGCCTGCACGCTCGCCGATAGACGTGACGCTCGTATGGACAACTTCCCGTGGATGTGTGTCTGCGTTGTTGGTCGTGTCCTTCCCGCCACCCCCACCCCAACCACCTCTTTCCGCCTTGACTATGATTTTCACTCCACTCAATACACTCCACTCCTCACATTCTCTTCTTTGCGTCCTCGTTGCACCGCAGGACGCCCAGCTTGATCCCGCCGCCGCGCGTCGCTTACTGGACCGCTTGGAGGCGTTACGGTCACAACCTCCAGGTTCCTCCACTCAGGCGATGGAGGGGGAGTCGGGCGACACTGGCGCTGGGTCGCCGCCGCCTCCCAGCACCATTGATTACGACCAGATCGCACCTGTGGATGTACGGCGAATGCGAGTGGAAGATCTTCGCGATGCACTAAGACACTTTGGCATGGACAGGTGAGGTGCGGTGCAGTGCAGTGGTGGTGTCTGGGCTGGGTTTGGTTGTGGTGTGTATGTGTGTGTGTGGGGTTTTGATCTAGAATGGGATTGGCTGCTGTAGACATGGCAGGTTGGGGATAGGGCACCCTTCCTCCTCATACTCATATTTATAGTCACCGAAGTAGCTTCGTCTGTCCAGTCTCAACACGCATTTTTTGGTGATTTACGTGGACCCCCTGTCATTGTGTCTCGAGCCCAAACCTAACCACCACCCTGCCTTCCGTCTTCACCCCGCCGTGCATTTCCTAACCCGGTTTTCTTCCCCTGAAAGCGTAGCTCCGGAAACAAGTACGACATGCAAGAACGACTTCTCGTGTATGTGACTATGCACGGCAAAAGCCGAGGTCGCGGTCGGCCACCTGGTCCTGGAGCCGCTGCTGGCGCGGCTGGCGGTGGTGCCGCCCTCTCGACCCGCGACGCCGAACGCGCAGAGCGCGCCGCCTCAGCTCGATTAGAGGTGGTCTTGGGCATGTCTGTTCGGACGTTGCGCGAGGAGCTGGACAAGCTGGGGCTGCCCACTTCGGGCGATCGCCTGGAGTTGCAGTCCAGGTATTTGGCAGCTTTACGAAAGGTGCGAGCGGTTTGGTTTTTTAAGGGTTTGGTGCTGTATGTGGGGAATGAAATGCTTGAATGTATGAATGAAATGCTTGGGCTAATGTTACAGTGGATTTCTGACAAAAAATAACACCGGTAGTAGTAGCAGCAGTAGTAGCAGCAGCAGTAGTAGTAATAACAGTAGCGATAATAGCAGTGGTAGTAGTAGTAGCAGCAATAGCAGCAGCAATAATGGTAGTAGTCTAGTAGTATTAGCAGAAGCTCTGCGTTTGTGTAAATCACGCTCGCACTCGAACTCAGCCCCTGGGGCTGGTTTTTGTACTTCGTTGTACGGCACTGTTTGATGCATGTTTCGTACTCGCGCCCCAAGCACCCGCAGCAGTAGCACTCCCTGGACTACTGTTTGCGGGAAATCTCTTTAAGAGAAGGCGCCACAACAACCGCCGTACTAACGGTGGTCATTCAGTAGATTATCCGTGCGGCCGCTCTGTGATGCACACCACGGCCCTCGGACATGAGCCTGGACGAACAAATACATGCGAGTCACCATAGGGCCCCAATCCCCGTGCCCGTGTCATGTGTACGAACGTTCGCTTACCTTTGCTTTTCGCTACTGCACATGTTAACGTGTGTTGCAGTTTCTAAGGTTGCGCGACCCTTCCCCCAAAGAATTTAACTTCATGGCTCATACATATGGGCCCTGAAGGGGCCAGGCAAGGGCCATTGTTCCGTGACACGCGTCCCAAGCACCCGCAGCAGTAGCACAACATGACTAATGCTTGCGGGAAATCTCTTAAAGAGAAGGCGCCACACTAACCGCTATCGGCGGCCATTCAGTAGATTATCCGTGCGGCTGCCTAAATGCTATCCGGCCCTCGGACATGAGCCTGGACGGACAAACTGACACTCAAGTGTTTTACCACAGCCCCTTCCACATCCTCCCTGGCCTCCCCCGAAACGGCCGCACCACGACACGCCGATGCACCCACCCACACGTACCCTCCCCTTTTTCCCCCGTCGTACTCTTGCATCTCCTTGCGCTATTGCCGTACGAAACAATTTGTTTTCCTTAGCTTTTCACTATATCATTTTAAACACCTTTTGGAGTTGCGCATCCACCCTTCTCAACCGGATATGTGAATGCATGTATGCATGTTTGTTTGTGTACCTCCGTTTGTATGTCCAGAAAGATGAGGAGGCCCGGGAGTTGTCCACCGAGCTCCTGGTATGTCCTGGCGTTACGGCTGTGTGTGTGTGTGTAGGGGTGGTTTATGCGTCGGGCGAACTACGACATGAGCCAGAGCTGGCCTTGTCTGTTTACTGCTGTTTTCCCTCTGATGCTGCTATTGATTATATCCTCCTGCTGCAGCTGTTGGCCATTAGCTGCACCTCCGAATGCTGCAGTTAAGGAGCCTTCTTAAGGATACCACCGCTCGCCTGTCTTCACGAGCAGCTGTGTCTTGAGCACTATCGAGCTGCTGATGTGTTTCTTCTCCGGCCTCCTCCTCCACCCTCCTCCCCTGGTTCCGTTGCTCGCTGATTATGAAAAGAAATATCTTCCCTCCCGCCCGCCCCTCCTACAACCTACTTACTGACCGCCCACAGACCGGCACACAAGCAGCTTCAGACGCTGGTGCTGCCGGGGCCAAGGACGGGGCGGACGTAGCTGCTGCGGAGGCAGCAGGCCTTCCGCCTTTGGTTTCGGAGGCCGAGGCTGAGGCGCGTCGGTTGGTGGCGTTGGCGGAGCTGCCCGTGGAGCAAAGGGCGGCGGCAGTGGTTTCGGCGCTGATGGGGGAACCGCAGCGGTTGATTACGTTGGGCATGGAGGCGCCCGTTGATGTGGCCGTGGTGGCGGGTAGCACTCCAGGTGGGGGGGAAGGGTGGGGTGGGGTGGGGTCTTGGTACATGTTGATAGTGCCGGTGGTGATGAAGATTTGTGGGTTGGTCTTGGGGGTTAAATTTCAATATTTTCTAGAGCCTGTCCCTCGCCCTTAGCCGTGTCGCGACTGACGAGTGACAAACAAACGAAGGCCGTTATGTCTGCCGCAGCTGCAGCTGCAGCACCAGTTTCTTGTTTCTCGTTCCTGTAGCATTAAACTAGCTTAAGCAAACTTGTTTTCCAAACTTCAATAAATGTTTGATTTTTAGCTTGAAAAGGAACTTTTTAGCATTGGAATGTATATATACATATATATTTGTCTGGTTATATGACGTGTATCTGTACGGTCGAGTACTTGGATCTAAGTGCCTGCCATGCGTGGTAACGCTCCTGCAGGCCGCCTGGACCTGGCCCAGCGCTCCCTGGAGTCGGCGCGAGCCCTCCTTGACCACTTGTACACCGCCCACATGCCCTCCCCCATGGACCAAATGGTAAGGCCCCAAAGGCCAGAGGCGGCGGAAGAGGAGGCGGCGGAAGGAGAAGCGGCAGCAAACACACAGGAGGCAGGCCGAGATCGCCGCAAGACCGGAAAAAGCGGCCCGAAGGCGGCAGTGGAGATAGTGGAGGAGGAAGACCAGCCGGAGCTGGATGCGACATTGTCGTACGCGCCGACGGCTGGCGGCGTCGCGCGCCCGCCGCAGGGCGTGGTGGTGTCGGTGTGGTGGCTCGATGGCGCGACGGGCCAGTCCACGCTGCTGTCGCCGGCGCAGGTGTACGCCGCGACGGCGGCGGAGTTGGCGGCGGGATGCCTGCCTGCTGTACACCGGGAGCTGCTTGCCGTACCGCCGCCGAGTCCGCTGAGCTTGGACGTGCCGGTGCTGGATGGACCCGTGCAGCCCACGGCGGCGGCAGCCGCCTCCGCCAGTGGCGGCAGCGGCGGCGGCGGCGGCGGCCCTGTTTTTTTCCCCGACGTGTCTTCCTTGGCCGCACACCTTCGCGGTGCGGCGCATGTGGTGTTCCCGTCTGTGCCGGTGGGCTCGGAGCTGTACGGATCTCTGCAGGGGGCGCTGCAGGCGGCGGGAGTGCCGCATGTGGGCACGGGGGCAGAGGCGGCGGCACTGGCTCATGACCGCCTCGAGTGCGTCTGGGGGCGTGCGTCCGCGTGAGGGGGTGCGTCCGCGTGGGGGGTGTTGTTGTCGTGGGGAAAGGTATTAGTACTTGGGGTTTGTCGAGTCGACAAGTGTCAGAAGCTCCCCTCGTAATCCCCCTCATTTGGATTTGTGATGTGGTTTGGAAATCCCCCACCCCCAGGGCGGCCTCTCGGGTCGCGCGGGAGAGAGTGTTTCGTGTGCTCGGTGTTCCTTCACTGGTACGGCAGTACGGCATCTGCAAGGCAGCGTCACACGCAAACCCCCCTTTGACCGCCTCATTTGCGTCCCCTGTCCATGTCCAACTCATACTCGTCCTTACTGATTCCTGCTCGGATGTTTTGTACGACAGGGTTCTTCGTCGGTTGGAATCGTTGTCGTACCCTGTCGTACCGCAACTGGAGGTTGGCGTGGCGGATGTTGTGGTGGCGGTACGAGAAGCCGCAGCGCAGCCGCAGCCGCCGCCAGCGGCGGAGCAAGGCGGTGACGACGACGACGACGAGGAGGAGGAGGGGGAGGATCCCGAAGATGAGGCGGCGGCGCTAGTGGTGGCGGCTGCTGCTGCGGTGGTTCGCGACAAGGTGTTGGCCTGGTGTACGGAACAGGTAAATAGCTAGTGGCTCGCTAGTTTGTGTTTTACTACCTTTTTGCGTGGTTTGATTGCTGCCCCTTCGTCCCCCAATCCACCCCAATCGACCTTTTTCGTCTTCTCCTCACGTCAGGGTTTCGATCCCGAGCGGCAGCTCTTTTTGGTCCGTCCACGTCACTCGCTGAGTTCGCCTTCAGCGGCCGACGCCGACACCGCACTTGGCGTTGAGCGAGTGGTTGAGTTGCTGAGCGCACCGCTGACGGAGTCCGTACTAGAAGCCTCCTCCTCCACCTCTTCCTCCACCTCTTCCCGGTATCGGGAGTCGTTGGCGCTGGAGGCGGCTTCAACGGTTGTGTTGGAGCCGGCACCGGCTTCCACTTCGGCTCGCTTCATTTGCACCGTGGTGGAAACTCCAGGTGCGGCTTGATTGGTGGGTTTTAAGATTGGTGGTTTTTAAGATTGGTGGGTTTTAAGACAGAGGCGGGTGCGGGAATGTATGTTAATGTGGATATTGTGGATATGTTCAGATTTGCGCCACAACGTGCCGGGCCCTGTGTGGCCCCTATGTGTGTGCTGTTCCTTTACAGATGGTCCTGTGGCGTTACTGCCGAGCGAAATCGAACTGTACGACACTGAGATTGAGATTTTGAAGCACAACGCTGATATGGCCGAATGGGCGGCGCTTCGTGAGGGCGCCGACGATGACCAAGTGGCGGCGGCGCGTTCCGATTCGCTCGCGATCGAGCCGGAGTCCTGGCGAGCGGTATTTGACCCACGGGTCACTATGCCCGCTATTTCCTCTGTTCGTCTCCACACGCCGCCACGCTTCAGTCGCAAGCTAACGCATGCCGTACGGCATGCCGCGGCTCGGTTGTTTGGCGAGCTTGGGTTGCGAGATGTGGCGACGGTGGAGGGTTGGGTGGACCTTCCGGCACGGTATGCGGATACGGTCGAGGAGACGATGGGGGGCAAGGGCGAGGAGGTGGATGACGTGCCGACGTTGTACGACCCGGATCCGTTTATTTTGGCGCGGATCGCGGAGCAGGAGTTGGAACGCATTGCGGCGGATCCCGCCCCTCTGGAAGAGTACTACGACTACGGCAGCAGTTGGTAGGTAACCGTTTCCGTTTTCGGTTGCGTTTGTTACCTCCAATATCAGCAACACTGAAGGCCTCACGTGAACACAGCCAACATCGTCATGCTCTCAGCCACATCGGCTCTACTCGGGGCCGGGGCGGGTGTTGTTCGGACGGGGGCTGGTTTGCTCTCACAAGTCTGATGTGTTCGCACAACCCTAGTTATTTGGGCGCTCTGCTGGTGTGATGGTGCTATGAAAACATCTTGTTGAACACACATACATACACACGTACAGACAGGTCGCGAGAGTGTTGTCGGGGCTCGGTCTTGCGCCGCTCTGTGCCCCGCCAATTAGTTTTGTCGACCCACACTGATCAGGGGCCCCGTCAGGGGCTCGACTGGGATCCATGGCCACACCCCGCCGCGGTACGGCATTTATGACCATCCGACGTGGCGGTACTTGGGGTGGCGCTGCCCGTACAGTTTTCCTAATACCCTTCCCCAAACTAAACCCCTCAGCAGAAAGGTAGAAGTAAATGTTACAGAGAGGTGTTCTCAGTATAATAAGGCTTGGCGACAGAACTCCAATCCACCTCCCCCCGGACCTCCCTCCTACTTTGGTAGAGTGGGTAGCTGTTCGTTAGGACGGAAAATACAAGCGTCGTCTTTTTACCTGGTCATTACTCACATGGCGGCGTTGACGGACTGCCCATTCCCGAAAAGAAATGTCTTGTGTCTTGCGGCCACGTGCCGATGTTTCCCTCGATGCCTGAGAGCTTGTTGCCCCCCCTCGGTAGTCTCTCCTCATCCCTCCCACCCACCCCGCTCGTGGTTCGTCTTTTGCCTCACCCGCAGCAGCGCCCTCAGCGCCGTCCAGGATCAATTCCTCTCACTTTGCGCACTGATATGCCAAAATCTTCAATATGTGCCCCCCGTTCCGTCCCGTCCCGTCTTAGTCAATGAAACCTGCTGGCCTAGTGCCCCTAGTTACCTTGTTCCCTCTTACGCAATCTGTACCTGGGGCTACCTGGCACGTCCTACAGGCATGCGAACCTGTCGGTGTTTAACCCGGCGATTCGGCTCAACGGCGCCACCAACGGCGAGGGCGCTACCGTACGATTCGCTGGCGTGGCGGTGGACCTGCCGCTTGACGGCCGCCACCCTGCCGTACTGCAAGCGGCGGAGGTGGGCCTCCCGCATGCTGCCTTGCTCCGAAACCTCGCCAATAATGCCCTGCGGCGGGCGGCTGTGGCAGGCGACCGCCGGGCGCTCGTCCCATCGGAGCCGTACAGGTCGCCGGAGGAGGCGCAAGAGGCGGCGGCAGTGGAGGCGATCCTGGAGGCGGCGTCAGCGGAGGTGCCGCCAGCGGCGGAAGAGTGGGCAGGTCCAGTGGAGGAGGTCGAGGAAGCGGAGGACGGCGCTGAGGGGGCTGCAATGCTGAAGGAGGTGGAGGAAGCGGAGGAGAGGGCGGAGGAGGAGGAGGACAGGGTGGGGCTGGCGGCGGCGGCAGCGGCGGCGGCGGCGGCGGAACCCTTGGAGGTGGGACCGGAGCCGCTGCAGCTGCCAATGCCGCCGCAGCTGCCGCTGTACCACACTGCCGTACTACAGCACCTGAGGGTGAGTTTGGGGGGTATGGTACGGCAAAACACGTGGTTATGTGGCGGGTTGTAGGTAAGCTAGGTAGTGTGAGATGCATCTCCAATTTGTGGGGAGCGTGTGTGTGGAGGCTCGACCTCTGACCGGCGCGACCTCTGGGCCTGGGGCTGGGGCTGGGTTATCCGTTGGGGGGTTAGGTTCATGGTAGGCTAGCCTGGTGGCTGGTGGGCCTGGGGCTGGTTGTATGTCTGTATGGTTTCAATGACATTGGAAAGCGACTGTTGCTGCGTTGTGTACTGCTACAGCTGCTGTTACTGCCACTGGGTCTCAATGCTGACCGTGACCCGGCCCTTGCAGGAAGCTGACGAGTACGACATGTGGATCGAGGAAATGGATCCGGATCATTGGGAGGATGCCGACGGGCCAGCAAGGGTGAGCGGGCCAAGGGGGTTGTTGGGGTTGGGGTGTATGTGTTTGTGCGTGTGTGTTTGTGTGTAAACTTGTGATGTTAGAAACCCTAGTGTCCTTAGGGGAGGGAATACCACAACCACCACTACAACCACCACCACAACCATCAGCACCACCATCGCGCCACCGGCCGCCATCGTTTTCCTGCGTCATAATTTCTCCCCTCGCACGCACACCGCACTGCGTGTCGCCACCATAGCGTTTCACCCACCTAACCGCGTATGTCGGTCTGTATGTGCGAATGATGATGATGATGATGATGATGATGATGATGATGATGATGATGATGATGATGGTGGTGCCCCTTCAGGTCCAGATGATGGCCGACGCTGTGGAGGAGCAAATGGAGGAGGCAACTGGCCTTCCAAGAGGGGTAAGGGGAGGTAGGGGTGTTGGGGGTGTTGGGGAGCTAGTGTTGAGTTATAGGCGGGTGAGTGTTCTTGTGTGTATGTATATCGTGTGTGTTTGGAAGGCTTGTGAGATCCCAAGTGGTGAAAATTTGTTATCCGTTTACCGTTTACCGTTTCTTTTACCGACTTCTCAACTGGACATTACTCCTGACGGCGCCTGACCGCCCGTTCCCTCGTGTCACATACATTGCACGTGGCTGGGTTCCGTCGTGCGTGCATCCCCCCTTACAATTGTAGTGGGAGAGGAGGAGCAGAGGGAGAATGGACTGTTGATCATATCGTTCCTCCACCACTCAGCCATCAGCCCCTCTTCTCCAACCCCCCGAGGTGCTTCCTGACCCGCTTAACTCCTCCGCGTCTTTCACTCACCCCTGTCATCGCTCACCCCTCCCCTCTTCCCCCTTCCGCATTTTCATCGCCCTGGGGCGGGCTGCTGATGCTCGTCCATAGTACGGCAACGACCCCAACCCTGTTGCGGCGGACATGGTGTCTGCGGTGGCTCTGGATGGTCACCGAATGGCGCTCGATGCCGCCGTAGATGCATTGGGGGTGGGTGGGACGGGGGGAAGGGAGGGGGAAGGGGGAGGGGGGAGGGAGAGGGGGGGGAGAGGGGGGGGGAGAGGGAAGGAGGGAAGGAGGGAGGGAGGGAGGGAGGGAGGGGGGAGGGGGAAGAAGGAAGAAGGAGGGGGAAGGGAAGATCGAGGGGGTATGGTCAGCAATCCGGTAAGCGGATCCAGGCCCGCGTTCCAAGTCATCTCTCACCTTCATCAATGTCATCCCGGCTGTGATTTATATAGCTGATGATATTTAACCACCACCGGGGATTAAATCCAAATATATAAATTCGCATCATAACATGCGCGCACGCTCATCCACAAACTTATGTAGACATAGACACAGTAAAGCACAGTAAGTTTGGAGCGGCAAGTACTCGCCGCCATGGGAGGGGAGATGAATCGTATGGATGCATGTTTCGTACTCGCGTCCCAAGCACCCGCAGCAGTAGCACAACCTGACTAGTGCTTGCGGGAAATCTCTTGAAGAGAAGGCGCCACAACAACCGCCGTACTAACGGTGGTCATTCAGTAGATTATCCGTGCGGCCGCTCTGTGATGCACACCACGGCCCTCGGACATGAGCCTGGACGAACAAATACATGCGAGTCACCATAGGGCCCCAATCCCCGTGCCCGTGTCATGTGTACGAACGTTCGCTTGCTTTTGCCTTTCGCTACTGCATATGTTTACCGTGTGTTGCAATTTCTAAGGTTGCGCGACCCTTCCCCCAAAGAATTTAACTTCATGGCTCATACATATGGGCCCTGAAGGGGCCAGGCAAGGGCCATTGTTCCGTGACACGCGTCCCAAGCACCCGCAGCAGTAGCACAACATGACTAATGCTTGCGGGAAATCTCTTAAAGAGAAGGCGCCACACTAACCGCTATCGGCGGCCATTCAGTAGATTATCCGTGCGGCTGCCTGAATGCTATCCAGCCCTCGGACATGAGCCTGGACGGACAAACCGACACTCACCCGCTGTTTTACCACAGCCCCTTCCACAACCTCCCTGGCGCCCCCCCTCCGATATGGCCACACCACGACACGCCGATGCACCCACCCACACGTACCCTCCCCTTTTCCCCCGTCGCACTCTTGCATCTCCTTGCGCTATTGCCGTACGAAACAGGATTTCGGCGACACGTTGTCCGAGATTATGAGCTCCATGCCGCTAGACGAGGCGTTGGAAGCGGATGCCGAAATTCCCCTGACCCGCGTAAAGGAGTTGCCGTACCCAGACGAGCGGCTGCCGGACGGCATCGACGGTACGGCAGCCGATCCTCGTGTCGTGGCAGCCTGGCAAATGGCCGCCATCTGCGAACTGGCGCGGCGACATGGCTGGGAGGCAGTGGAGGCGGTTGACGCGGAGGAGGAGGAGGCCGAGGCGGCGGCTGCGCGCGCTGCAGCGGGGGTAGGTCAGGCGTCCCAGGCAGGGGGTGGAAAAGAGGATAAGGGACGAGGGGACCAGCTGCAAGAAGAGGAGGGATATGTCCGGGGATATGTCCGGGGGTGGATGTGTCCATTCGTTTCTATGGAGATCTTCTCGACAGCTCCTGACCCACTAGCACTTCGTCATAACTGCTGCCAACTGCGCCAACGAGCCCATTATTGCCTTCTTTCTCATCCCCCAACGGCCCCCGCGTTTGGAGACCTGGCGCCGTCTTTTCGGGGTGTACCTGAATCACCGCTGTGTGGAACCACATTGCCCGACCTGCACCTCCCTCCTTACCTGCCTGGCCGCTGTCCAGCTGTAGGTAGAAGTGCTTAGGGTTTGGCAGCGGCTTCGCCACGGGCACCATTCCCCCCAATACACCTATATTCATAGGGGATCTTGGGGGAGATGGTGTTCTCATGCATGCAGTCCCTATAGTGTAACGTGGCTTTTCTCTGGGACTTCAGCAGGGGTTTCCTCTGTTGGTTTTGAGTTGATTATTTTCGTATTCCGTTGCCGTTGCCGTATCCCGGAACCTTGTTAGGTTCCGGAGCCCACTCCGGAGGAGGAGGAGGCTGCTGCTGCCGCGGCTGCCGAGGAGCAAACCGTGTTGGAGGCCATGTGTGACAACGACGACGAGGTGATGGAGCTGAGGACTGGGCTCATTACTCCGGTGCAGCTGTACCTGCGGTTCCGGGTGAGCTGCCCAGCCCCAGGCTCCCTGGTCCTTATTTAGTTGTTGTTGTTGCTGTTGTTGGTGGTGGTGATAGGTAGTGAGGGAGCGTGGGGTGGGGAAAACAGGTGGAGGGAGGGCGGAGGAGGAAGAGGAGAAGAGGTGGTAGCGAGGTGGTAACGAAGAGGAGGAATGAGAGATGCAGAGGGGGGAGGGGGGTTGGAGGCGGGTAGGGGGAAGGTGGGGAGAAGGGTGAGGGCTAGGGACAGTCTCGCTGTCGGGTTTGTTTGTGTCGTCGTGCAACGGTGAATGAACACACACACACATACATACACACACGCCTTCCCCTTTACCTTCGTCTTTGTCTTCGTCTTCTTCCCTTGGGACGAAGGAGGAGTTTCAAATTTTGGACACCGGCAGCTCAGTTCTTGTTTCCTTGCATATCTTGATTTCTTTTCATCTTTTCATCTTCACGGAATCCTCCCGAATAACACCTCTCGCTCCTTATGGAGTTTTAACGGACCCCAACAACCGTACAACAACACCGTACAGGAGCGTCAAGCTCGCCGAGCTCCTACCTCACATCCTCTCGCACTTGCCGGCGGTGTCGCCTCGGCATCCGCGTCTTCCGCTCCTTCCTCCTACTCTGCTGGCGCCGAGGGCGAGTTCGAGTTCGAGGAGGGTGAAGAGCTTGAGGGCGAGGCTGCCGACGAGGACGAGTACGAAGGCGAGGACGAGGAACAGCTAGGCGAGGATGAGGAGGGTGAAGAAGGAGAAGATGAAGATGAGGTGGTAGAGGCGGCGGGTGAAGTCCAGGTGTTCCTGCCTCAACCCGAGGATGCGGTGGCTCCGGAGCCGGGCAGCGAGGCGGCGGCGGCGGCGGCCGCCGCGGCGTCGTTTGGTTCCGCCAGCTCGGGACCTGGCCTGGAGGGCCCTACGGCGTACACTTGGAATTTGCCGCCTGATGATGCGGTAGAGCTGCCGGTGTTTGCGAGTGCCGGGCTGACGGCGGCGGCCATGGCGGTGCAGGCGGCAGTGGACGGGGAGGAGGGCAGTTTGGCGCGGCAGGTCGCGGCGAGCGCGAGGGAGAAGCTGGACGGTGAGGAGCTGGAGGCGTTGGCGATGATGGAGCTGGGATTCGAGGCCACGGTGGGTCGGGGGTTTTGGGTGTTTTTGTTGCGGTACGTGTGTCTGTGTGTATGTCTGTGGAGTGGGTTTGGGACCCGAAGTGGGATCGAGGGACGGCTGTCCTGGGTCGCGAGTAAATGAACTCCTTTCCTTCTTGGGTAGGTGGACTGCTTTCCTTTACTACAAGTTGGTTGGTTCGTTTGTCGGTTAGTTGGTTGGCCGTCATTCTTACCATTACGCTCGTTTGTCTTTAGTGTGATGTGTGTATTTATGGCGGGAGAGCATGTGTTTCCTTGTGCCTTCCCCCTCCTCCTCCCCCTCCTCTTGCCTGACATGGTTTGATTGTGTCGGTTTCATAACCTCTAAACAAAACATACATACCAAACGACACTTGGGTGCAGGCAGCAAATCGGTTTGCTTCTTGCATCACATGGCTGCAGCCATTCCAACCTCTGTTTCCCCCCCCCCCCACCACCTCACCCCACCCCGTACAAACCCTATTTCCAACAGCCGGTGGATCGGGACTCGGAAACCGGTTTACCAGTTATTGCTGCCATAGGGCCCTCCATGGACGGCCTAAATCAGGAGCTCATCCTGGATCCATTCGGAGGCGGACTGGCGGAACTGCCCACATTCCGGCCGCTTGCAGCTGTTTTGTCGGCGGACAGAATCGAACCGGCGACCTCTCCATCCTCAACTGCTACTGCTGATGGGTTGGACGACGATGAGCAGAGCGGCGGGCGCGTGGGATTTGTAGATTGGGAGGATGAGGACGGGTTTGCGCACGGGGTGGCACGGGCCGCAGCCGCCGCGTCGTCGACGGCGACTGTACGGCGTGTCCCGGCTTCCACTGCCGACGACGACGTCGCCGGCGGCGAGGACGACGACTACAACGCCGACGACGCTGACGTTGCTGATGTGGACGCCGACGTCGCCGACGAGGAAGAGGAAGAAGACGAAGAGGAGGAGATTACGGATCATGGGCAGTATCATCACCCCACGGTGCCGTTGGTTGCTGAGGCGTTGGCGACGGGTGACTTGGCGGGTGCGGAGCTGGCGGCGCTGGTTCCCCCGATGAATCCCACCCGTGTGTGGGTGGTGGTGGGCGGTGATGGTCACTGGGGTCGCGAGGCCGGTCTACTGGCGGGAGCGAATGTGATCTCGAAGCTGTCCAAGTACCAAGACCTCGTGGTGAGTGGCGGAGTGTAAATGAGCGGGGAGATGCTGGAACGTGGAGGGAGGGGAGGGGAGGGGAAGGGGAGTAGGGAGGGGGAGGAAAGGGGAGTAGGGAGATGGCGGGATAGGTCGAACTAAGTGGGGGACATATGGGGGAGACAACTGTAAATGTATTTATTTGGTGCATGGTGGTTTTCCCCATAGTCTTTTTTGCTGCTATAGCGATCTATTACCGTAAATGTATAAATGGCATGTAGATTTTTATGTTCAATTTCGGCACCTGATTTTTTCCTCAGCTTTCTCCGCCGTTTTCCTCATACCTCCCCCCCTTACCCCGTTTGTGGTTCGTCTTCCCCCCCCCCTTATTACTCCCCTTCTTGCCCTGGCAGCAGCTTAAATCGTGTGTGGTTCGTCTTTCCCCCTTCCCTGCCAGGTTGAGCCCTTCCTGCTGGTGCCCTTGGGGGAGGGCCGGGACACGGAGGCGCGGAGAGCCGAGCTGTTGCGACGTCGTACAGAGTTCATAGCGGGGCTGGGCATGGACCCGGAGGTGGGGCGGAAGGGGAGGAAAGGGGGGGAGATGGACGGGCGCTTCGACTGTGGGGTTACGCCGGGTGAAACACGACGCGGCGTGTGGGTTTTGGGGTTGGGGAGGAACAACTGTCACTGCGTATCTGATTTCAACTGTTTGCTGCTTGTGTAACTTTTGGTTTGTGTTTTTGTTCCACATTCCGTCACCACAGATACGCCCCTTCTCTCCCTCCTAACCCCCCTCCCTCCTAACCTCCCTCCTACCTCTCACCCCCCTTCAGGAGGACCTGCCCCCGTCTATGTCGGTTGATTTGTTGAGGGTGACTCCGCCAATGGAGACGGGGAGGCCCGAGACGCAGTGTATCTACGCGGTCACCCTGGCCACAAGTAGGGAGGGCGGGGGCTGGGGGCTGAATGTGTCTGTGTGTATAGGGGAGGGAGGAGATACGGGGTTGGAGAGAGCGTGCTGCAGGCTCGTGGCTTGCTGAGATTTGAAACGTTACAGATTTGAATACTGTTATTATTTTTGTTCTCATTAAAAGTAAAAGGCCTATTTTCTACTCTTAATTATCAGCAGTAGTGTTTTTACATTTAGGGTTTTAACTTGTTGCTTTTCCCCCCTCCTACCCCCCGCTGCTGCCAGCAGCAACCTAGCTGTACGACTTGATGCCCTTCATTCACACCGCACCTGCTTGCGTACCCCATCTCCCGCCTCCTTACCCCCGGTCTCCCCGCTCCCTTTTTCCTCTTGCATAGCATTCCCCCTTCCCCTTCTCGCCTTTCCGTGTTTCCGTTCCGTGTTCCTTATTTCGTCTTGTTCCGTTTTGCTTGTTTTGTCTCGTCTTGTTTTGTCACCTCGCAGTTTCCCGGCCAAGTGTCCCGGAGGCCCTTTCCTCCCTGGAGCGCACTGCCGCCCGGGAGGGCGTGGCCCTGCACGCCCTCAGCGAGATGCAGCGGCAGCAGCGGGCGGTGCATTGCGACGTGCAGGCGGAGCTGGCGGCGGCGGGATTAGAGGTGGGCGGGTGGGGGGGTGGGGGGGGGTTCTTCGTATGCGGTGTGGAGTATGATATTAGCGGTGGGAGGAGGAGGGTGCGCGTTGGCGGTTTTAAGGATGGTGTGGACAAAAGGGGGATGGTGGTTGTGGAGTGTGGGGAGGTGGAGGGGTTGGAGAGGGCTGTGTTTCTTGCCGTACCAGTGGACTAGGACGTGTCACGGTTCATGGCAAAGCTTGCATGGAATGTCTACATCTGCTGCTCAAGCCCCGGCATCGTCAAGACACGAACACATACACACATACATACAGACAGACAGACAGGTCGCGAGAGTGTTGTCGGGGCTCGGTCTTGCGCCGCTCTGTGCCCCGCCAATTAGTTTTGTCGACCCACACTGATCAGGGGCCCCGTCAGGGGCTCGACTGGGATCCATGGCCACACCCCGCCGCGGTACGGCATTTCTGACCATCCGACGTGGCGGTACTTGGGGTGGCGGTGCCCGTACATTTTTTAAGACCTGCCCGTACATCCTCCACCTCACTACAGTTGTCCCGTCTATCACGTCTTGGATCCTTATCAGGCATCCAGGGCATCGAAATAGCGGGTTGTGCGGCACTGATATTATCTAGCGTAATCATGCAAAAAACAATGGAAGCGAACACTGCACAGTCTTTTTCTCTGCAAATGTTTTATTACATTTGCTCCTTAGCTACGTGCCGCCGCCACATAACATCAATTTGCAAAGATGGGAAATAGTTTGGAACTCGGTTGGACTTTCCCACCTCGACGCCCTGTGGGTCTTTCCTGCAGCAGTTGATGACCCTCTTTGCTACTTGCATCATCACATGACCTCCTCCCCCCTACCCCTCCCCCGCCCCCCACCCCCAGGGTGTTGCCTCCATGTGGGATGACAACGTGCTCGGTCAGCCGGGGCCCCCGCCCGCCCGCCCCCTGGACCTGGATACCTTCGCCGAGGACGCCCGGCGGGAGGGCGCGGTGGTGCTGGTGGCGGGGCGGGGGGAGATGGCGGAGTGCGGTCACCTACAGGTGCTGCTGGAGCTCAATGGGGTACCCTGTGTGGGTGAGTATGGGCGGGTTATGTGTGTATGTATGTGTGTCTGTCGGGGTGTGTGTATGTGTGTGTATGACAGGTGAAATTGAGGGGGGAAGGCAGCTTGGTATGGGGGAGGGGGGTACTGGGTGTGTGTGTATGTGTGATATGTGGATGGGGGAGACATGGCAGGGGCTGCCAGGGGTTGGGGACATTGCATTTTGGGGAGGAGGACCTTTACAGACGGGGGGACGTGTTTGTGTGTGTGTGTGGGGGGGGGTGTATGGGTGGGTCTGTCACGTATTGACCCTGGCCTGACGCTAGCTAGGGGCACCTAACCGTATAATACCCCAACGGGGAGTGTGGTGTGTGGAAGGGTGGTGGTGACCCTAAGACTCCCGGGTAACCACCCGGGCAGATGGGTGGGGAAGTGTGTTTTGGAGTGAGAAGAGGCGAAGAGATTGGCGTCGATGCAGTTTTGACGACTCCACCATTAGCACCGACACCCCCGTCCTCGCGATATTACCACCACATCCAGCTATAGCAGTAGTAGCAATAGCAGCAGTAGCAATAGTAGCAGCAGCACCAGAAGTAGCAGCAGTAGCAGCAGCAGTGTAAGCGGCATTGCCGCCCCCACCCACAGTCGCCTCGGTTCATCTCCTTGCCGTTCTCAGGGTCGCTGCACACAGAGCGGGGGCGGGTGGGCGCTCTGCTGGTGTGATGGTGCCATGAAAACATCATGTTGGTGTACACACATACACACACGTACTCACGTACACATACACACGTACAGACAGGTCGCGAGAGTGTTGTCGGGGCTCGGTCTTGCGCCGCTCTGTGCCCCGCCAATTAGTTTTGTCGACCTACACTGATCAGGGGCCCCGTCAGGGGCTCGACTGGGATCCATGGCCACACCCCGCCGCGATACGGCATTTATGACCATCCGACGTGGCGGTACTTGGGGTGGCGGTGCCCGTACAGTTTTAAGCCCTGCCCGTACATCCCCATCGCATCTGGCTCTCATGCATCTTGCCTCCCTCTCTCTCTCTCTTCCTCTCCAGGAGGGGATACCGCCCCTCGGTGTGCCTCAACACGTCACCACGTTTGTTGCTTTTTTTTGGACGTTGGTTGTTATTTCTTATGACACTCTCTTCTGATACTCTCAGCACCGTGTTCCCCCCGTGTACTGTGTTTCCCGTGTCGTGTCGTGTCGTGTCGTGTCGTGTCGTGTGCTATCCAGGTCCTGGCAGCCAGCAGATGTCGTGGCTGTGGGACCGAACGGAAGCGGCGGAAATGCTGCAGGTGAGAGACCCACGGGTCGGTCAATTGGCGAGAATGACCCATGGACCTGCATTGGGTTGTCGGGCGAGTGTCCTGCTCGGGCTTAGTACCAGTGAACCGATTGGCCCACGGGTCCCCATGCCTGTCTGAATCCAGAAGTTAATTACTGTTTTTCCTGGATTGGAAAAGCAGGAGCTGATATTATCGCCCCTTCGACATGATGGACGGTAGAATAATGGCTATAAATAAAGTAAAAAATACTTAACCCACATCTAATAAAAATCATTGTTTTAAAGACAAAAATGGGTCTATCATTAAAAAATCGCCAGATGGTCAGATATTGCCGAAATCTGTTTTTCCCCGGGGGATTCGGCATGTCATTTATTTTGGCGGAATTGCGGTTTTATGGGCAAACTAGGTTCTGGGTGTTCGCGCTTTTGTCGGCGTTAACTTTGTAGATCAGTCCGTCCTCGAGTGTCCTCCTGCTGACCCGTGGGTCGGCGAAAGCCTCCGGAGATGATCTAATGCCGACTGCAACTGCATCATGCCATCATTACAACACCTGGTTGGAAAACCCCGTGGCTTGAAACTCCCCACAGGACCTTCACGCTCAGGGTGTGGATACGCCGCCACGTTTCCTGTTGCCGTACGAGGATGCCGCGACGGCGGCGGAACTGGACGAGCAACATGCCGAGGAGCTTATGGACCGGCTCCGATCCGAGGTGGTGGAAGATCCCCCCGAGGGAGTGTCGCTCCTTGTACGACCTGCGTCTGACGTGGCCGGCACTGGCGTCGCGCGGTTACGTTGCGGCGCTGACATTGTGACGTACATGACGGCGCTCCGTGACGGCGACGCCAGCATTCCCGCCGATACGTTGTCGTACCCGCACGGCGAGATTCGGCTTCCGCCGCGGCCGCCGCCGGTGCTGTCGTTTGAGTTGTTTGTTGAGACGGATCCGTTGTTTATGGTGCTGGCGGCACCGGAGGCGGCGACTGCGGCGGCGGGGGCGGCGGGGGCGGCTGGCGGCGCCGTCGCGGCGGGGCTACACAGCAGGCGGGAGAAAGGCTGGGTGGAGGTGTCGTTTACTCTGATGGGTCCGCTGGGCGCCATGAGCTGCTTGCCGCCAGCCATGCGGGCGGCGTTGGTTTCGGAGGCGGACCTTGCGGAAGCATCCGAAGTGGACGAGCAAGCCGCCACGGACCTGGCGGCTGCTCGCAATGCGGCGGCGGAGGCGGCGGCAGCAGTGGAAGCGGCGGTGGCTGGGAGAGCGGGGCCGGATGAGGGTGAGGGAGGCGAGAACGAGGAGGATGAAGGCATGGAGGAGGATGAGGAGGTTGCGGCGTTGACGGAGGCGGCTGTAGCGGCGGCGCAGGCGGTGGCGCAGCTGCCGCCGCCGGGTGCGGCGTCGGGGGAGCTGCTGGCGCATGCGCCGTCGACGTGGTTGGCTCCCCCGCCGGAGGAAGCTCTGACGGCGGCGGCTCTGGACGCGGCGTGCAAGCGCGCGGCGTTAATAGCTGACCGACTCGGACTGCAGGGGTTCGTGCAGATCGAGGTAAGTGCACGTGGCTGCATGCCGTACATGTACGGGCTGCACTGGCGGGTGGCTGGCAGCACAACACAATATCCATCCATTGTGTTAAAGCATCGATTTAGGGTTTGGTTTCGGAGCAGGTTGGCGAATAAATATGCAAAATTGGGTTGGGAGGTGTATGTATGCGGGTAGTAGCCCTGTCGTTGGGAAGGGTGCACGGTTATTCCGTCCACAATACATGCACATTCGCACGCACATCACATGCACACACACATTGACATACGCATTCACACGCACACATCCACAATCTTAGCAAGGAGCTAATTCTTTATGACCCTTCTTTTCGCTCCCTTGCCCCCCTCCTCCCTTTCACTCTCTCCTCGGACTTCACAACGGCGCTGCTACCATAAGGCCTTTGTGGCTTCCGACAGTGGCGAGCTGGCAGTGTACGACATCAACGGCAGTCCCGACCTGGGGCCGGATAGCCCCATCTGGAGGTACGACAACCGCTCCCTCTGGCTTTAAAGCCTTATGTGTAAGGTGCTTTTCCATTACGAGATTTGCTTACTGTGTTTTGTTGCCCCTGGTTTTTGTGTTCTTTGTCTTTCACTGGAGCGCGCGCGTGTGTGTGTGTATGTGTGTGTGTTGGGCTCCAGTAGCCGTGCAAGCTGTCTGCATGTGTATGTATGTATGTATGTATGTGTGTATGTATGTATATATATGTATTTATGTATGTATTTGTATGTAAGACCCACCCACGCACGCTTAACGCCGGACTAAACCTCATGCCTGCCGTGCGTGTTCCTCACCTCCAGTCTTCGTACCCCGCAACCCAACACGCGGTTCCGTTCCCGCTGCCACCACCTCCCTCCGCAGGCAAGCCGCCGCCGCAGGACTTCTGCCCCAGGACTTCCTCCGGGAGCTGCTGGGACTGGCCATCCAGGCGTCCACCTCACCGGAAGGCGTTCGGGCGACGTACGAAGCGCAGTTAGAGGCTGTGGAGCGGGAGGGCTGGGATCTTGACGAGGACGAGACGTACAACAGTCAGTACGGCGTGGACGACGAAGAGGGGGAGCTGCGTGCACGCGGCGATGACGAGGACGATGAGGATGTGGAAAGCGAGGGGGGCCGGGGTGGGCTGGGCGATGAGGGGGATGGTGAGGAGTATGATATGTTGGGGCAGTTAGAGGAGATGCGGGCGGGCGCGGGCGCGGAGGAGGAGGAGGAGGGCGGGGACGTGGGTGACGGCGGGGTTGGGGGCTCTGGAGCTTCGGCCTCAGCGAGTGCCTATGCTGGGGATGAAGGGTTTTTGTATTTTGACGATGAAGAGGAGGAGGAGGCTGGTGGACGAAGAGGGCGAGGGGGGGCGGCGGCGGCGGGCGGGGGTTTTATGGGTTTTGACGAGTTTAGCGGCGGCCGGGGGAGGGGGCGTGGGGGAGGTTTTGACGACCCGGACTTTTAAAACTAGTGACCCTGCTGGGATTCGAATTGGGTTGGATGAGGAGAAAACAGCATGACGTTGTTAAGCTTGGGTTTCGCATTATTGGGAGCGTAAGGCGCGTTACTTTAAAGCTAAAAGGCCCTTGCTTTTTCCAATAGGAGTGTTAGGTTAGAGATTCACATAGCTGGCTTGGGAGTGAAGGGAGTCAGAAACGTGCACAGGATGAAACTAGAGAGACACCTAGCTGCTGTTCGTTTTTTCTTTACGACGGTTTCGGTTCCCTCGACAGTCGCTGTGCACCGCGCCGTGTGCACAGGGCTGTTTGGCGCGGGAAGATGGCAAGAGGTTGGGCTGGTTGGGGCCCTAAGTTGCAGCCTCATCAGCCGGCGGCCTGAGGGGGGCCCCCAGCATTGGTCTCTCCTCCTCATCCTCGCACCCACTTAAAACCTAAAACTTTAAGTGGTGTTGTTGCGGCTGCAGCTGCTCTATCAGCACTGGTGCTACCCAGTACAGTATTATACATACAGACATACGTACATATATAGGTCAGGCACTACTGGTAGAGCACGTACTTATGCAACCGGAGATTCCGGAATCGAGACCTGTCAGGGTCGGACAATCTTTCCGATGGTGGAAGTGGTGGAAAGTGCCCCTAGGTGATGAACGGTGGTGACCTGGGATAAAGAATTAGACCTGCGAGCTGACCAGGAATGGAGTTGAGCCGCCGTCGATCCGACAGAGTCCTTTGGATGCCGGTGGTAGGTGCTGAACCTGAGCTATCCACTGAGAAGTTGACTAGGGTGACTAGATGAGGGTGCCCCGAAATACCGGGGAAGGCAGGGTTTCGCCTGGTAGCGGCCACGGGTGAAGATATGGCCCCCTGTCCCCACACATCACACGTACTTTAGATATAGTTTAGATGTACTTTAGATATACTTACGTACTGGCAGTTAGCGAGTGTAGGCTGGCTGAGCATGTACGATCCAGTGGCTGAACGTACGGCAACTCGCTGTGCTGCCGCATGCGGCACTTACAGATTAGCGCATTGAGCCGAAGGGTACATGTTGGGGAAGGATCATCCAGGCAGGCAGGGTTAGCGGATGGTGCTTTCCTTTGGGTGGGAGCCGCCGGGACCGGGCACGGGGTGGGCCAAACGACTGGTTGAGGAGCCAAGTTCTCTTTTATTCTACGCGATTGCGGCGGCGAATGTCATGTGGTGGTGGTGCCGACCATCATCATCATGGGGTCTTGCTTGTCCAGTAGTGCGGAATCTGTCCCAAGCTCCACCACTCGGCCCTTCACTTCGGGCGGGATGCCGTTGGACTACAGGGGGCCCCATTGTGCCGCTGGGTGTTGTGTATGTATACCTCTTATACCTCTTATGACACCTGTGACGTTTCCGTTGTCTCTGTGGTGCGGGTGCACCTCTGACGCGGTGGCGACTGGACGAGCTTACAAGGTACGACAAGGCCAGCTCTGCCGTGTTGCTACCGAGATCCACCAGGGTGCGGCCAGACCACCGCTCCAGGGGGGGGAGGACTGGCAACAGAAGGGAAGGAGCAGAGGAACGGCTGGGGGGCGGGGCCCCCCTGGAGAAGGGTGAAAGGTCAGAGCTTTATCTGAGGTCTTTAGCTCCAGGCTCCAGGCCAAGTTGCGATGAGGGGAGTTTCTTGTCTCATATTTAGCTAGTAGAAATCTACTACACGAAACCTTTAACAATTTCTTGCATAGCACGGCGGGCGGGTTACACCCTTGGTAAGCGGGCACGAACACGGCATTGGGGGATGGTACTGCTGGCGCTCTTGCCTCCCGCTCGGTCGCATGAGTAAGGTCCTGCTTTAGCCCGTCACGTGAATCCTCATGTCTGCGGGAACCCCCGATAGCTTGAAAGCCAGCCGCTTGCCAGGTGTTATATATTTATTGCCTCCGTGTCCGGGCCCGGTGTTTTTTGGCGGATCGCAATGTGCAAATGCGAGTGCGACGAATGACTTACTCATTGAGCAGTCGTTGCAATGATTGCCAATTTTACCGTTGCTTGCCTTCCCCAAGGTTCAGCAAGGGGGCCGGCTGAAGCCCGCACCTCACATGCGCATGCGTATGCATGTATGTATGTATGTGCACATTCGACATTCGTGTGAACTCACCGTCAATAGAGATGATGAGGATGCAACATCTCTACCCGAATAAGCAGATGCTCCTGCGTGCATGCCCGTGCACATCCACCGGTTTCATGCCCCCGGCCTTCTTTGTACTCCTACGTGCTTTACTTGCTGAGGCGCTCCCGCTGATTACTGTAGGCCGCCTCAATTGTTTACAAACAATTGTTTACAAACAATTGTTTACAACCAACAACAAAGCATCTATGCAGCCAAATACCGGGGAAGGCAGGGTTTCGCCGGGTAGCGGCCACGGGTGAAGATATGCCCCCCTGTCCCACACATCATGTACAGTCAAAGCAAGATAAGGTAGAGAACCCTTGACAGCACAAACTTGACACCTTGACGTCTCCCTCCCAGCCCGGGGGGAGGAGAGCGGAACTAGCGGACCTGCGGCTCTCCATACTGCTTAGCAGGGGACAGAGGCCCCTCGCGCCCATCCGTCCGCGGAGAGAGCTTAGGTGGTTTTTCCGTTGGGGCTGGGCAGCAGCCCCTCTGTGGCCAGAGTCAGGCCCGGTCAGATACTTGTAACCTTCACATACACACACATACACAAACATACTCACACACAGCTATTGTAGCGATGTCGTGCGCTATTTGTACCCTCTAATCATTCGACATCTTACTAATGGCGGCGCTCGTGGCTTGACTTGGGTTTTACCAAGCTTTTAAGGGTGGCTGTGCATAGTTCTTAACGGCGACGTCAGCAGACGGCCCCCGCCCGAGGGCCATCGGCCCCATCCCCACTTCTTACTCCACTGGCAAGTGCCTCCCCCACCAGGAATACCCCCTCCCCCTCCCCGTCCCCGTCACCATTCGTGGTCTTTTCCGCACCCTCCCCGAAATTCGCGTCCTCAATAATGGTAACTAAATGAAAGATCCCTCACTGGACGTGGACCTCAGAGGACGAGACCGCCACCGCAAGCTGCAGCAGTTGTAGCAGCTGCTGTAGCACCAACGCCACCTCAAGTACTACTACTGCCACCAGCACCAGGTTCAGCACCACCAGCACTAGTCGCACATTTAGGCTCACCACCATCACCACCACCACCGCTCTCTGCAGTAGCAGTAGCAGTAGCAGTAGCATGTAATTCGCCCACATCCAGAACAATCCCTTCCGGCACGGCCTCACTGCCCAGCCTCTTTCCAGGCATTTGCTTTCGTGACAAGGACGTCGCCGGTTTGCTGGCAGCTGCCGGCGCAGGGGGGCTGGGGCTGGGCTCCTGTTCCCTGGCCTCCGTGCTCCCTTTCTGTCGTTGTTGTTGTTGTTGTTGTTGTTGCTGCTGCTGCTGCTGCTGCTCCTGCACACGCGGTTATTGGGAGGGGCGTTTCAGTGGGCAGCAGGTCCCGGGGGGGCGCAGCTCCAGGGCAGATATTATGACAAAGAAATGAAAACGGTTCACTCATCTGTGCAGTAGCTGGCCGCTGAAAAGGCCTCTCGAGATGCTGGTGTTAGCGCTTAGCGCGTATTTGTAGAGCCGTACTGTGTACCAGCTACTACAATCTGCCAGTGTGCAAGTCCACATGTACATCAGATGTACATCAGATGTACACCAGAAGGCCACGTAAACGATGTAAACGTAATCCGATAGGTTAAGTTAAAGCCCTAACCCTTAAAGAGATAATTAAACCCTGATTTACCAGTTCCCGTGAAACCTTTAGGGACTTCGGATCCATGAAGGACCTTCGGTAAAGGGCCCTTTGGGGACTCCGTACATCGACTCCGTACACTCACCTGCGCCGCCAGAGCCGAGTAATGGCGCCAGGAGACCACCACCAGCACCACCACCAGCACCACCAGCAGTACCCCAAAGGTGATGCCAACCCCTAGCGCCACCTTCTCATCTCCATTAAGACCACCACCACCACCACCACCACTGCCTGTTCGAGGGTTTGAGGGTTTCAAAGGTGGGTGTAGATTTTGCTGTGCATGTACGTGTCATTATATCTCTCTCGTTCTTTCCCCCCCTTTACAAACACGCATTGCATGCATGTGCGCGTGTACGCATGCGTGCGATGAGCGGGGTGAATAGTCGAAGGGGTTCCGGAGCGGGTGTCTTTTTGGAGTGGGAGGGGCTCCTTGATGTGCCCGGTATCCGGATGCTGGTCGCTTTACATGAGGGCATCAGGGCTCATACAAAAACCCTGAGATTTGTTGAAAGGGGAGAGAAAGAGAGAGACAGAGAGAGATGGGGAGGCTGGCAAACGAAGGGAGGAGGGAAACAACCCCTCGCTCAGACAACCCCCGGTGGTGGTGGATACATTAAAGTGGTGGCGGGGGGGGGGGGTATCCGATGCACGGATTGCGCAGGGCCGTGACGGAGGGGTAGGTTCGGAAACATGGACATAAATTGGATGCATATGAATGCGCCGTACTTAACACATACACACACACACAAACACAAACACACAAACACAAACACACAAACACACACACACACAAACACACACACACACACAAACACACACACACACACACAAACGCACACACACACACGGAGTAGCAACGCAAGCGAGCTTACCCAGGTACGTGGGTGGCGGCTGCTGCGCGGAAGTCTGGGGTGTGGGCGGCGGGGAGGGAGGTGCCGGGACACCGAGACTCCGCAGCGCCGCAAAACCCTGAGGATAAATTTCGCAGCGCGGGAGGAACGGAGTGGTTGTTAAGAGCCGGGATTTGGTTCCGGGGCAAAGGCGGCTCGGGGGGTTACACTTCGAGGCCTGGATGGCCTGGAAGGTGGGGACGACGGTGCGGCCGCATTGATAAACTAGGCTGTAACTAAATCCCTTGCTTGCTTGTGCAACCAGTGCTGTGACTGTTTTTCAAGCCCTCAAGCAGGTGCCGTACATGGAAAAACTGCTCATGAATCCAAGTTGCTGCGAGCCATCACCTGCTGTGCAAAAGCTACTGGCCAAAGCAAAAATATACAACCTGCATAAATTTAAAAGGCAAAATACATGTAAGATCTCAAAGCTGGCTTAGGAGTAAGCCTTATACCGAAGCCGCACCAAGTAGCAATAGTCCATGATCTGGTCCACGGGCCATAATATGGAATACTTTGAGGAGACACATTAACGCTGAGTCAACGAAATTCGGTGAGAGAGCCCTAACCTGGCATGGTCGTGTTACAATTGCTTCCTTAAAAGGTTTCAGCACTTCATTTCATATATTATCGAAAAGAATAATTTATTTTTATTCCGCGGCTATATTGTGCCCTCATAGCCTATCGAATAAAGTACGGCCTATCCAGTACTGATGTACCAGTCGAAATGCTGTCCGTTGGGCCCTTTCCCCTACTTTCTTTTCCCCACAACAGAAAATGAGAGGAAAAAAATGTCGCTCTCCTGCGTTCTATTTCATTGCATGGTTCTAGCCGATTCCGTTGAGACCTTGCCCGTCCACGATTTCCACCTTTTCTTATTCTTTATGGACCGAATAGGAAGGTCTGAAAGCCTCATTCGATTACGTACCGCGTAACTGCAAACGAAACGCTCAAATGTCACATCAATCGACTAATAGATGAAACTATCAAAATGTTCTTTTTACATTCTTATATTCTGTCGGGGATAAATCACTAAAGTGAGCTGTTTGGGTGAATTCCGGTACTAATTTAACTACTCGCATTAAATCACGCATTAATATTCCCATGCCCGGCCCAAGCTCGGTAAAATCTCTTATGTGTAGTGAAGCTGCAAGTACAGGTAGGCCAATTTACGCTTTCTCCCCCCTTTGCAGCGATTCCTGCAACGGCGTCTTGATGTATGGCCCTGCGCCCGTGTGTGTGTGTGTGTGTGGTTGTTACAGTGGGCTCCAGACTCTCGAAGAGTAGAGCCATCGGGCCATCTGGCCGTGCACTGCAGTAGAGACTAATATACCAAAAGATTATCACCTCAGATAATTAACCTCTCATCGGTAACCGCTCTCGCGAGCACATCAATTTGCCAGATATAATTCTCAAGAAGGGGTGATGTACGCCAACGGAATCCCAACCTTTCCGTGGAATTCCCAAAGCTGCGAAACCCTGAATGCGGCCCCAAAAGTCAACAATAACTCGACAAATTGCTTCTTCCGTAAGGGAAGGGCCAGGTAACAGTGCCGGGTTGGTTTTGATGTTTGCAGCCATATAACGTCTCCCATGCTCCATGGCTGACACCGCAGCAAGAGCCACAACATCCCAAACACATTGTTGCACTGATTGTGGGGCTTGGATAAGCCAAAGTTGCTTCCTTGAGACTGGCATTCCTATTGAAAGAGTAAGTTGATCTGCTACTGCCTGTGCCACCGGACAAGCCCAGAAATGATGATAGCGAGGGGATACACCTCCCACTGAACCTATTGGATAACCTCCACAACCACAAATCGTTGGGCGCGACATCCTAAGATGGGAATTTCCTAACATAGGCACCCCATCAACCGCGAGACGCCACCAAACCTCTTTTTGTTCATTTTCCCACCGTAAATGAAACCATAAACGATGGAATGTCCGTTGCAAAAGAAGAATAGCTTCATCCAATATCTCAGAAGAACCCGTCGCCTCTTTGATGANAAGGGTATGGGCCACACGGCGAGCCATCGAAAAAGTGTGAAAGTTGCATATTAGTCGCTATTTTAACGGATAAAGTGTTGGAATCGGATTGGAGTGCCCTACACCCCATCTCCAACCAAGCCTCGACACTAGGGTTTGGGTAACCGACTCAATAGGGGGCACCATTGCTTCCCTACATTCTACACTCAGCGGCAACAAAAGACTAGCCGCCTGTCTCCAATTCGCTGGAATATCATCTAGAAGAGCGCCAATAGCATCCATACATTCCTGCCATTTACGATAGGTGCACAGGGATTTAGCTAGTGGGGTTTGCGGTTGGAGGTATTGATCCACTATTTGATGCCAAGCCTTGCGTATTGCTAGGCCTGCTTGGTCCGTTGCCTTCATAACTCCATCCAAGGCCTCGCGCGCGCAAAGAACATCTCCCAACGTATGCAATGCTTTACAGCCCAGGAGGGCCTGATGTCGAAATTCTAGTCCTGGGCGGATGTTATCTAACTGGACATTCACCCTTTTTTCTGGAAGAACAGGGTTTCCCCACAATGGCCCGTGGGCTCCCATTGCTCCATAACTAACCTTGGGACGGTTTTGCACATAGAGCAGGAGAGAGCTATGTACTCTTTACCTGTTCCCGCCCCATCGCGTTTGCTGGAGCTGCTTTATTTATTGTTGCGTGCGTGCGGCCCAGGTGGGGCCCTTCTCCGTACTGCAACATCCTTTCGTTCCGTTCGCACGCTTCGGCTGCAGCAAATAACACATTTTTTGCTGGATTTGCATATATGATGTTAAGTGTATAATGCACCTGCAAAGCTGACCATCACCACATACCGCTTCATATTAGATGCCATGAATAATTAGGAAAACAAATTGTCATGACCCACGGGTCATTATTACGCGCATTCGCAACGACGGCGTGGAAAGCTCATCAGCAAACTCAACACTACACCTACCTCAGTCCGCCCCAAAAATGATGGTTTAAGTCTCAGGGTCTACATTAAGAAAACAAGACTAAAGCAAAATTTCCTTGCAGGTCTACTTTATCGCTCAACCAAGTAAGCACGTGCTGCTGTGCTAATGTCATCCTAATCCAAGTCCAAAAGCCATCCTGCTGCAGTTCTGCTTCCTGTATTCTCTGCCCCCACATGCACCCCCCCCCTCGCTACCGTACCAACAGCAAGACATTCCCACAGCCCGACCCAATCCCACGTATATATGCCCAAAGCAGAAAGTTCGCGTTCGTTTCCAGCTTTTTAACCAACAAGGCACACCACCACTCAAACAGCGCACACTCAAAACAAAAAAAACGAGATGAGCGTTATCATGTCTGCGATTCCACGAGAGCCATCACATCTGAAGTAAAATAAAAACATCCGTCTGCAAAGTCACTCGATATACCTCATTCCTTCATAATAACACAAGACAAGATTCCCACAACAAAAACATCTCTAATGACTCGCCAACAGGAAGTAAACGATACCTCTAGCCACGTCAGCTCCCACATCCTGACAAACAACAAACAAACGAACACACGTAAAACCCAGGAGGAAGCTGCTCATGAAAGCTATGATAGCACTAATGGCGATGGGACCTCTCTCCCCGAGGAAGTATACCCAAGACACCGGCTGGCTATGTATCCAAAACTACGTGGCGATCGTCATTCGTCGTACAACCCCACCGTACCCACCTCCTTGCGTCCTACACACTTCACCACTTACCACATTATACCCGGCAGTACCGCGGCAACCGGCCGCATGCTCGCGCAGAGAGCCTCACCAACCAACTCATCAACCAACTTCCCAAGGCGCCCAAGGGGAAGTTTCGGTATTGCGTGACCTCCGTGACCTCCAACAAGTGCAAGTGACGTCGTTCGCACAGAACCCCCTCTCCGCCCTTCGCCCCCCATCACCACCACCATTACCCCCCACACACCATTACCACAAGTTGCAGTTCCTGTCTGTCTGCAGCAACATACCGGCATTTGACCCCATCCGCTAACAACTCTTCTCCCCACACACAACACAGACAGACAGTCACACATGGTGCAGCCACACAGGCGAACACCCCTCAATCGGTATCCATATCGCCGCTGCCGTCGCCACCACCTCCTGCACCGCCGCCGTCGTCACCGGCGTCACGCTCAATGTTCAGCGCCTCCAGGTCGTCCAATAACTCCTCCAACGGAATCTGCAGTCGGGATTTCAGGCAGTTTGCGGTTGTTCGTTAGATTGAAATTTCGCAACATGCTGCCTTCCCGAAGATAGGGATTGTATAAAAGAAATCAAATGAGGTCCTTCGGCACAACATCACCGCACAGGGACGAAAGAGCAAAAAGAGAGTTGCTGCAACGACCGTCCTCATCCCCGTCGTATCAATAAAACATGAGAATAATATTAATGAACAGGGACAGGGCCCCCGGCTCCGAAAACACGCACATGTCCACAGAAAAACATACACACACAGAGACAAACAGAGCGCCACGTTTACAACGATAACACAGCTTTTATCCAACTTGTAACAAGCGTAATAACAAAAATACACAACCAACCAAGTGCACGTTCCACCGCAACAACAGCGGAAACCGCCAAAGCCTCCTTTCTCCCTTCCCCCCCCGCCTGCACCCCCCTTACCAGCGGCAAGTCGTCGTCATCCTCCTCATCGGACTCGCCCTCCAAGAGACCGGCGGGCGCCGCTCTCGCCGGCTGTTGCCGGTGCTGCCCGACCACTGGCTGCTGCTGCTGCAGCAGTGCCAATCGCTCGGCGTCCTTGTAGATGTTGATACGGGCGCGCATGTCCGGATCTTCCTCCAACTCGACAAGGAAGCGCTCCCGGTCCGCATCCTGGACCGAGGATATGGCGGGTAAGGGGGGAGGGGGGCACCCGGTGGCGGGGTGAAGTGAAATGAGAAATTGGCGGCTGGCGAGGGTTTGAACCGAATGGGGTAGGGGGGCAGAGAAAGGGAGAGAGAGGTGGCGTTTCGCAATGTCGTTGATCAGCACACCGACGCTTGAGTGAACTAAAGGGAAGCATCATCAACATAAGCAACAAGCCGCAGTAGCAGCGCTCTCTCCCCCCCTCTCTCTCTCTCTCTCACCGCCGCCGCCTCGTTACGGCCCCGCGGTCCGCCAGCCGCCTCGTCCACCTCCATCTCCAGCGTCTTGAGCTTCCAGGGCCGGGCAGCAGCAGCCCCACCCTTGGCATGCCGCTTGCGCCTCTTCTCCTCATAACTCTTGCGAACCTGCAGGAGCAGAATTGGTTCCACCCGGGATCGATCCACCGACCAGGTTGGGTCTGGCTGGGGAGGAGAGATGTAAGCCGCCTTTCCAATATTGCCCTTAGCTAACTGACCCGTGGTTCGGGAGTCTGCTCTACTGCAAGCCGATTACCACCTAACCCCAAAACATGACCCACACACCACACAGCATTTTCAGTCATCCCCACCCCCAGGGCCATACCAACACCGCAACAGTACTTTTGAAATGATGGCGCCTCGGTGTTGATACCGTCATCATAAATAGATATATGGCATTAGATGTAAGAATGTAACGAAATGTAATGTAATTACTTATTTTTTGAAAGTGCACTACAAGTTTTGGAGACGCTCACCAGTACGACGTCCGGTACTCTCCCGCCCTTGTTAACGTAAGCCTCGTAGTCCAGGCCCACGAGCTGCGATGCCGTCATGTCGTACCCAAGTACGGTGTCTCCTGAGGATGGACGAGCACAAGATGAATGCCGAGGGCAGCAAAAGGCAGCCGAGTTGAAGACCAACTGAGGGGTTTCCTTGCTAAACAAAGAAACTAAAAGACCTAAACACCAAAAAATACAAGGAAAACGAAAAACCCGACAATAGCCCTCCCTCAGGGGATTCACTTCTTCCTCCCCCTTACCACCAACCTATCCTCCGCCCTCACCACCCACCGGGGTGCAAGATATTGCCCAGATGTGTCCGCGTGTGGAAGACGGTGTCGTTGCGGCCAAAGTCACTCATCCTTGCCACCTGAGCCTCGGACAGCAGGTACCTGGAGTTGCTGTTGCCTTGGGGAACCGGGAGCGGCTCAATGTCCAGCACAATGTACGGCACCAAGGCCCGCTGCGACGCCAGTGCCGTAAAGGGATGCCGGTAATACACAGGCGCCTGGTCAGGAAGGCGGGGGCGTGCGGGCGGGGGGGAGAGAGCATATGATGATGATGATGATGCTGGCGATGGTGATGGTGATGATGCTGGGGATGATGGTGATGCTGGCGATGGTGGCGATGGTGGTGATGATGCAACAAGCAGCAAGGGGCCGAGTGCCGAAACGCCCAAAGAAGGGTCGAGAATGGGGATGAGGGCCGCGAGAAGGAGGCCGAACAACCCAGCGGGGGGGGCAAACACGTCGAGACGCTTCCGACACGCATTCCACACCCCACCCCATCACACCTTTTCCCCCGTCCCCGTCACTACAATACACCACACAAAAACATTGCCGTACACGTACGGCAACTACCCAAGCTGTCTACTACACTCACGTCCATGGAGTAGTTCCGCAGCGTGAGGGGGTCGGTGATAGTGATCTGGTTGGTGATGCGGCTGACCAGCACCAGGGGCCCTAGGTTCCCGCACGAGGCCGCCATTTTAGCCGGGAGACACGCCAAATCATCCTGTTGTGTGTTGTTATCGTTCGGCGTCGCGGAAAGCCCGACGAGAAGAAGAAAAAGGAGAAGAGAGGGAAAATGGGATTGAAAATGGAAATTGGAAAATGGAAAATCGTAGAATAATGCGATAAAATGACGCAATCGGAATTGCAGCAAAACGGAATTGGAATTCTGCGTTCATCAGACTTCTGAAGAACATATGATGTAACGTACATTTAATCTATGTACGCGTTTTACAAACGCGGGGGCATACAAACCCTGACACTACCTCATGCAGCCAACACGGCCACCAAACGGCGCCCTACCTCAATGAAACCCAAAACCTCCAAGCGCACCTTGCACAGCGGTACAATCTCCACTGAAAACGTGAACTTGTAGTTGTACGTGTTGTTATGTGTGTCGTGCGACACCAGCTGTTTGTCGGCTCGGAAACGAATGGGGACGACGCTTTGAAGAAAGTCGATGAACTTCAGCGCATGTCCGCGTTGTGAGTAGAAAAAGTCGATGCCCTCGTGGATGTCCTTGATCTGCGGCGACAAAGCAATGGCACTTTTTTGATAGTAACCAGAGGGGAAGTGGACGACAGGTCGGCGAGCGATAACGCAGAGAAGGGGCAGACGAGCAGAATAATTTATCTTGCAGTCAGGCGGTCAGGCGCCAGGGAGAAAGGAGACATTTTATAGGTGCGTTCCATCACAAGAGAGAACATCGCAAGTCATCACAAATACCGCAAATCCTACTGCCCGCATAGGGTATCGAGGATTATTACGGGGCGCGATCAGATAGATAATTGATAGCGGTGAGACGGATGCGTGGTGCGCAGAAGTATCAAAAAAATAGCTCAACAGGACCATGTTAATAAATACAACAGCTTTCCTCCTTCCTCTCCTCCCCTCTTGTGTCATTAGACGGCCCAAAGAACGACGCTATTCCGCTCCTCTCTTTTCGTGCCACTGTAAACCCACCAAGCGCTGCGGCGCGCGCTGTCTGCCTGCCCACCCCAAAAAGGGTGAAGGAGTGGAACGTCGGTGCCATCAGCTTGTTGTGTTTTCCACAGGCCCGGACCCATTCATTTACATGCAATGGATTGGGCGATCGGAAAGACTAATCGATATAGCCATCCCTTGGCACAGCTCCGCCCCTCCAAACGAACCCTTTCCTGAACCAGCTCGGCCCCCCCCCGATCATCAACCACCACCGCCACCACCACCACAACAGCAACATAAACATCAACAGCAGTATAAACACCACCATCACCATCACATCACCATCACGACGCCAACAGGAAAACAGCTAACAGATAACTGCATTGTAAGTTTTCGCGGAGAAGTACCTCTCCGAAACCATGCGGGACGAGAACACCCCTAAAACCCCAACCCCCCCTACCGAGCTCGGGGTATCCCCAAGAGGCAAGAGGGGGGAACGTCAATGGGTCCCTTGGGATCAAGACCATAAAAAAAACGACAGCGGCGGCGGCGGGGGGGCCGTAGGGTGCAGCGAACCATCGGGCGCATGGAAGGAGATGCCATCAGCTTTGTAAGGGTTGATTTCCACACATGCCCAGAGCCGTGTATGACGACAGCGCCTGGGCGATCGGAAAGACTAATCGATTTAGGCACATCCCCTGGCACAGCTCCATAAATCCGCCTCCAAACCGCACACCACTGCCGTTTTACGCTTTAAACCCGACGGCCCACCACCCGGGCACTCGGCCAATCGGTGCACACAGTACAGAAAGTTCCAACACGCCTTCCCCCCTCTGTCGCAGCCAATTTCCCCCACCACCACCTCCGGGGGCCCGAGTGATACGCGCCTCCAGGAACCGACACCACAACCAGCATCAGACGATTACGTGGTCATAAACCCATCTTCTCATATCAACACATGTATCAGACAGGGTTTTTCGGTTCTAGGGTTTTAGGTTTTAAGGGAGACGCAAGGAAGAGGACCTTTTCAGAGCGACAAATGCAGAAGAAGCTTCCACCAGACACGAACGGAAGATGTGTTTCATGTACGAAAAGGCATAATCCTTCTCCCAGTTGTAAAGTGTGCAGGTGGTAGCTGCACATAAATGTAGGATTGCCATCGGTGCCATCAGCTTGTTGTGTTTTCCACAGGCCCGGATTGGATTGGGCAATCGGAAAGACTAATCGATATAGCCATCCCTTGGCACGTCTTCTCATCAGCTCCACCATCAGCCCACACCGCCTCACAACATCACGTCGCATCAAACGCATCAACTGCAATAATACAAAGCCCTCGAAATTCAGATCCAGCTCTTTTTCTACAGGATCCAGATCCAGCTCGACTCAATGGATCCGACCGGAACTCACCTTGACACAGTTCGCCGCAGCGTCGTGTTTGAGGATGAGCTGCTCCAAGAACAGAAAGGTGCGCTTGTGGAAGACGTGTTGACGGAGCTGTGCATGGGTATCGCAGGGTAAGGGGGAAATCATATGCAAGGATCATTATCATCACCACCACCATCATCACCACCATCATCACCACCATCATCATCATCATCATCATCATCATCATCACCACCACCACTGCACTCCCAGGCCCCACCTGGACGCACGCCACCCAGCTATTGGGGTTCGCGTTCTGTCGATTGCAGTCCGGACACATGTTGTTCTCCACCACATAGTCCACCACGAAGGTTTGCTGTAGGATAGCGCCGTTGAACACCTCCGCCTGGGGGGGGGGGGCAGTAACGGAACAGTAGTACAAACACACGTGGGTCTGTGTTGTTATGATTTGAACAACATGTGCGTGCGTGTATGTGTCTGTCTGTTTGTGTGCGTGTGTCTGTCTGTGAGTGTGCGTGTGAATATTCACGCCAACAGTTTTGGCAAGGAGGTGTCTCCTCAACTGGAAGTCGCAACCGCAAGAGCGCATCTTTCGCCCTCACTCGCGCACATGCGCAAGTGACAACAACGTCGTGAATAAAAGTTAGATGACCAAAACCCAGACCAAACTCCAGGTAAAATCCAGCTTTTGCAACCGCGCGCAAGCACCTGAATTGTCAATTTGACTTTTAATCTCTTGCTGTGCGGCTCCGTCCAGACGAACCCCGCGTCCACAAGTTTGACCTGCGGGGGCGGGGCCGGCAACCAGGACAGCAGGTGCCGTTGCGGGGAATCAGAGAGCGCATCGCCGGAGAAAGAGACAGACAACAGCGAGTGGGTAAAAGGCGACTATCCAGCTAAGTAAAGTGGAGTATAAATAAGCGGAATTTAAAAACGACAACAAACCTTTTGTAGTCCTTTAATCTTTTTAATGCAGAACGTTAGAAGCTCCTTGCTCTCCAGCTCAGCCGAGACCCAATGCTTCGGAGGTTGCAGATATCGACCACATTCCTTGCACCAGAGCACTGTAACCTGTGTGCGCAGAGGTTGCAAAATGAGCGTGAGATTGTCAACATTACAGACGACTCGGGAGTTTAGGGAAATGGATTTTAGGAGGGAAGGCCGCCAGCCCGCTCATGCTTGTCTGCATGGGCAGGCGCCTGCCAGGGCTGGACCAACCCTCTTTCAACGGTTTCGGAGCAGGCCGGTTCTGTGTCCGCCAACAGGGGTTCGCAAACGTTTGTTTAGCAAAGGTCCAACAGGGTGCAAGTTCTGTAAAATATGAAATAGCTTTCTGGGGAGCAGGTTGAGTACCTAATGGTGATGTGAGGGGAAGAACTGCGAGAAGCCGGCATTTTGACCCCCTTGCCCGAGGTCGGCCATATTATCAAAATATGGTGAGGACTGGCAACAAGGTTTGTCCGGAGTTTCGGCGAGAGCCCGATAGAAGCGATGGAGCTGGCGGGCGGGGGGGAAGATAGGGGTGTGGCGCATGGCAAGCGCCGAAGCATCGGCCGTGGTGCATGATGCTGCGATGAGCGTGCTAAACGTTGAGCACAGGGCAACGTAGTACCTGTTTCTGTATCCCCTCCGTGATGTCCACTTGCGAGCGGATGCAGTTGACACACATGTTGGACGGGTTCGGAAGAATGCTTGTCCCACAGAGACAACATAGCCTGTGCAGAGAAAGGGATGCGACTAGGCATGGTACGCGCGATGAAAGACGCGACGGGTCACATCGATACACGTCCAATAATCATTACGAGTACGCATGTAGTTACTATGCCGAAGCAGGCAAGGATAAATCCAGCACCTGGCGAGCACTTGCCGCCGCCGATGTTGCGTCCCGGCGGCCAGCCCTAGTCGGCTATTGTTGAACCCCAGCCATCCCGCAAGCACATAGTATAAGGACATCACTTACACATATCCTTGCGTTGCTTGCGGCTGAAATGTAACCTGCCCGCCGTAAGATGTAGATGAATCCATGGCTCCCCGGTGTCAGGCAAGTAGCACCGGGCCTGGAGCAGAGTTATGAGATACTCCACAACACACAGAATAAGAAAGTCTACTTCTTAGACCGCGCCTTCGGACGAGCCTCAAACAGCCATACGAATCGCGATAAATTTGTAGTTTGGGTCTCTATACCCACTGTACAAGAGAAACTCTTTAGGAAATCAAAAAGTCATAATCACCCTGTGAATTGAACATACTGCAATGTCTCCGCAGCCTTGTAGCGTAGGGCCCACGACGGTTAGACCTGTACGGACATGTGTAATTCCTCTGGACTTGCTTTTCCTGTACACTACATATAGTCATAAAGATAAACTCTGATCAAGGATAACTGGAAAACGATATGCTTGAAGGCAATGAAAGACAAAATGCCAGCGGACGGTTAACTGCATTAACCGTCCTAACCGTGCCTGCTGACGGTTTCTGGTAAATCCGCCATTCATGTCCTGGAGAGCAGACGTCGGTAACCGCAGTTTTGTGGTCTTGGGAACGTTTAGGACGCCTGTTTTACTGCAACCCACAATTGGCGCGACAGGCCGGTCAAACGGCCCTACGGGCCGCATATGAGGCCTTTACTGCCTTTGGATAACGTATGTGTATGTGCGATGTACCAGTTTTACTGCTGGCTGCGAGGTTTGGGAGCTTTTTTACGGTCTTGGGAACATTTGTACGATCCGAGGGTGCGCCTAAGAGCTGCCGATGAAGCTCTGGTGCGCCCGTCAATGCGAACATCCGTGATATCATGCAAGTGGATGATCAGCGTGGTCTTGCAAAGGCAATTTTTGAGATGTTTCGCTCCCGGCATGAGCACCTAACTACCTAACTTTCTCGGCGGTAACAGGCAATTGTGTGTCAGAGTCAAATTGACGCTGTTCTTTCTCATAAACACCCGTTTTCTTCTTGCGTAAAAATTTCTTTTTCTGTTGTTTGTTTTGTTTGTTTCGTTTACATTTTCTCTTTTTTCTTTTCCCTATCGACGGCGCTGTCAAAGCGGTTCATGAGCCTCCGGGTTCGTTTGGGCCGTACGAGCTCGCTGAAGCTTCATCCATCCATGCCGATGTCTGCTGGAGAGCATTGAATCTTCTGCACAGTGATCTCCACTAGCCTAAACGTTAACTACGAAAGAATAACCCAAACTTTTCGGCACTTGTCATCCCGGAGGTTTATCCACTCTTGGACGCCAGCTCCGCCCTGTCGGCAACTACGGCCTTGGGAAATATTTAACCTGTCACCAAGCCTCATAAAGGTTTCATAAGCCTCAGTATGACATCGAGCATCCAAAAGTAGGACTATATATGTAGGTTACTTTCTTCCCCCCCAACCCCCGTCGAGCTCGATCTGCGAAGCTACGCAAAGCCCATGTCAGTCAATGGCTGCGGACGCCTTGCAACTAGAATTCAACTGCCCAGGCAAATAAATTACCTGCTGGCTGGGCCTCTTAGCATTCATCACTTTGTCAACTGCACAAATGCCAAAAGCCGGAGCTAAAGGAGCTATAAAGGAGCAGCGCCAAGAGCTCCTCAGAAACCCGGCAGATGCGAAAAGCAAAGACACCGAACCAGGTGTAACGGAGGTGTAAGTCGCATAGATAGAGAGCTTGGGAATGTGTCTTAATGTGCTGTTGATTTAGTTATGAAACCCTAAGTATGAAGCACCGCAAGCCTGCGATGGCGGTACTCGCTGCTGATGAGGGCGGGCATTGCCTGTCTCCTGGAATACGTTAATGTTAATGTTAACGTTAATGTTGAGACGGCGCACATAAGCACTACCTCAGGGTGTACTTTGGAATCCAGCTGTAAGAAACCCAGAAGGACTACAGAGGCGCCCCATTCCACCCTATCCCCCTTTGCGTCGTGCACATCAATCGTACTCATGTGTCGTACATTCGTCGCACAGACTGTCATTACATTGCATAACCACACCACCACGACGCAAATGTTCCACGATTGCAGTATGCCGTACACCATAAGTTTTCTATTGCACGGCAGGAAACTCAAATCCGTTAGACCATAACCACCTGCAGTACATCGGTAAAATTTTATCTCATTCATTAGCCAAGCTACAGTTAGCAAAGCAAAGAGCCCCAGTGGTCTGCTTCTACTGGAATTAAGCCGAGGCCAGGGCACCGATATTGGAGATTGATGTTATGGGCGGCAGTCAACTGTGGGCACTTGGGTCACACACGAGAGCTGATTGCGCCGCCCTAGAACACCGCGTACCTCGCCAGCTGTGTCCACTCTACATCACATCAGATTGCCGCGCACCGCAACACGGGACATCGATGCCCCTGCAACATCGTGTCGCATCACCTACGTGCACAACTAGAGCACAAGCCATTTCCCCCCCAAGTCACAATCGTCATAGTGTTCTCATTGGACATGCTCAGCGGGCTGCATTCACATCCACAACTACAGCACAACTTCCCCCCCCCCACACACACACACAACTGCCCCGCCCACCCACATTCACAGCACAACTCCCCCCCCAAAAAAACACACACGCACACACTCACACGCACATCGGACCCAAGGCACTTCCGCCCGCCATACTGCCGTACAAAATGAGCAGTTTCCACACAAAGTCTTCACTCGGGAAACAAAAGACAAATTACCGATGGAGCCGAAGCCACGGGAAGTAGAGGGGACAATTTGCTTTGCATGGATCCGCTCATAGCGAAGGTCATGGGTAATTGTTCAAATACAGCTTGGTAGGAAAAGGCGGTCCCGTGTGTATTTTTGGGCCGCATTTCTTCACATCGAGGCAGCACTAGTACGCCGGGGTACTTGTAGGCGTGAGTGTGTCATTCATAGGGGAGCCATATGGGCAAAATCCTCCTGTTGGCATCAGCGCTAGTCCGGTCTTAGTCGTGGCCGGGCTTGCTGAGGTGTTGTGCGTGCTGGTTCGGACCACTTGTCCTTCCTTTCCAGGCCTGTATCTATTACAACAACAGGCGATGCGCCCTGCCTCACGGTATAGAAACTTGGTAGCCCGCTGTAATAACAACAACAACAACAACAGCGACAACAAAAGCTCGCAATCCATTCATCGCTTCTTCCTAGATGATAGATGATAGATACACACAGATCATACGGACATGTGGCTATATCTCGCATGTTGAATACCGATCTTATACCGGCACTTTATGAAAACAGCTATCAGATATATTTCAAAAATGGCTCATATGTCCCTAGCGCCTTAACAACTAAGATATCGCACCAAAGAAAAGGAGCAAAGTATGCAGCGCGGGCCCAGCAGCTTTAGCCGCCATACCGCTTCCTACCTTATTCCCAATTTAACCTAACCATCAGCCAAAGCAAAGGGTGAGCACGTCACCGTGACGTCACCGCACTTAGGGACTAGAAAAATGAAGCACATATGACTACGACATGGTCCCCCAAACCGCACCGATCGTTCGCACCTAAGCAATCACATGAGCAGTAACGCCACCGCAATCCCAGTGCCGCCAAACCCCATGATGATGATGAAGCACGTGTGACTGGTGGCCCCCCGGCTGTCCACCAAGCTGTCAATTTGATGTGTGACACACACGCACAGGTATACACTTGCGCACCTCGTACATACCTTCGCACACGTTGCCTCTCTTACATCCATTTTAATAATAGCGCTGACATACATACAGACACACAGACACACATGATTTTTTCTCTTCACATCACCTGACACTGTGCAACCGGGCATGTGCGGCTCACACACACACACGCGCCGCCGCTGCTACTCTCCCCCCCACCCCCCCACCTACCCACCGATGACACAGCCACAACAGCCTGTTGTGCTGTATGGTGTGCTCAATCCTAGACATACATGGCAATCCAAATGTGTGCAAATGGCCCAGAAGCCCCCCACTCTGTAACAACGACAACAACAACAACAACAACAACAACAACAACAACAGCCTCTGCTCTGCGTGAACGGCTTTATGAAAGCCCGAACTGGAGAAACTCTTGGCTCCATCAGGCCCCCACAAACCCCTAAGTAGAGGCACATTGGAAAGAGCATTTACGAGCGGTAGGCAAGGCATTAGTAACAGACGTGCGTGATGTGCCGTAAGTAGGGCCGCGAGCGACCCGGGCGACGTCTTTCCACTAGACCACTCCTTTGCCACAGACAACGTGGACTATATTACCCGCCAACCCCCTATTATTGAGCCCTAAGACTATTTAGTTCACCTGTGCAATTCGCTTAGGGCTTTTGGCCGCTCAGGTATCCTAGGATTAAAAACCTGGAACGACGCTATCCGGCGCCCTAAAGTCATACCAACCAACCAATGAGGGTCGCTATCTGAACTGCGGGCTCCGAAGCCGCCAAAACACAGTCCGGGCCCAACTCCTAGGATTGTGTACGGACAAAACTTAAGGATCTGAACGGTATTGGACTCCGAGCTAAGCCTGAATAGGCCACAGTGCTAATGAAGCCTCCGCACAAGCTCAAGGGCAAAACACAGGTCCGCATACACCGAGATTCCCATTGTGGGGCCGGGCTCCCAAATGGAAGCCGGGGGGGGAGCATTCCGGGGAGACGCACACAGACATTCGGGTTCAAAGCCTTGCCACGTACCAGGTTACCAACCATCAGCTCTTAGTAGTAATGTTGGTCATGCATACGTGGGACAGAAGAGCAATCGTGTTGGATAAGATCATCACACCGTCTTCGCCCCCAAAAAAGCCGTCTTCGCCAAACCTCATTTCGAAAATTAGCATCGTGTAATCAGCGCCTCAGCTGTTGCGTCACCACGGCCGCATTACTTGGCTGGTGTCACAGCGCGGTGCATTTTGTGGTCCAGTGCAATCCTAAGTGCCGTACTGTTCGGAAGCAGATATCTTCCCGAATCGGCAACGCCCAAAGAACAAACGCCTCACTATCAAGGAAATCCGCGTGGCCCCATCTTTGCTTCGAATGAAGGCAAGCCGCGTCATGTACGGGGATGTACGGGCGCGTACGAACGAGGCAGGCACAAATGTGACGAGGAGGCTTTTTGGTCACATACCAAGCAATGATGCGTTTCCAGCACAAAAAGCAAACAGGTACATGTATGTGACAAGCTTGAGATTCGACAAGTTTAATGTCCAAGACAATCCGTTAAGATACGTCATTTCCGTGCAGTACTTCGCACCCGCAGTGAGTGCAGTACTTGGTACATAAGCACGTTCAGTGCATGAGGTGAACGGCAAACTCCATGGCCAAGGCAAACTCCATGACAGACGAAACGTCATCAGAGCCGACGGATCTCACCCCGCGGAAAGGGGTTATTAAAGTAACCCACGTGCGACCACTGGCTGCTGCTGCTGCTACTGCTGCAGCTGCAGCACATGTGGGCCCTGCTCCTGCTTGCTTATGCCGATGGTGTCCAACACTGCGAATAGCCTGTCTCCGGAGCTCTTAGCTGCCTCCGTGCCGCCCAAGGAGATGTTATTGCCACTGCCGTTACCTCTGCTATCACCGCCACGGCTGAGGTTATCGCCGCCACGGCCGCTGCTGCCGCTGCGGTAGTGATTTTGAGTGCGCATGGGTGCCTTGCCGTGCCCTGCATCAGCTGCAATGGCGGTAGTCGAAGCGCTGCAAGTTACGCCCTCAGCCCCCAGACTGACAATCTTCCCTCCTCCCTCAACAAATGTCACAAATCATGTGGAATAGCAGCCTCACGAGGAATAATTTTCGGTTAACATTTCTCACCAGCTTGTACGGCAGCACCAACCACCAACTACCTAACCATCCATGTAGGTGTACAAACCGCCTTCCGGATCCATTACCAAGGTACCCGCCGGGAACAGTCCGGCGGTGGCGCCTGCTGCTGTGCCGCCGCTGCCACGGTGCATGCCGCTCTGTACGGCACCGCTGACGGGATGTCCGAACACGGCCATCGGCTGGCCCGTTAGGATGTCGGCGGCGCCGCTACCGAGACTGCTGCCGCCGTACATCGCTGCGCTGCTGGCAGCAGCGCTAAGGAAGCCGCCGCTGCCGCCGCCCGGCGTCCGAGGAATCCCTGCTCCGGTGACGGCAGTGTGGAAGAGGCGGCTACCCGCCCCGCCAGCGGCAGCGGCGGAGGTAAATAGGGAAGAGCCGTCTGGTACGAGCATGACGTCAGCGACGCCTGCCGGCGCCAACGCTGCGCCGGTGGCGGCGGCTAGCGGACCGAGCTGAGGCGCAGCTGCTGGAGATCGCAATTTCGGAATTTCAGATCCGGGAGAACCGTTGCCGAGCCGCAATGCAGGAAAGGAAACAGGCGGGAGAAGGACAATAAGACACGGCCAAGAATGAGGAATGGCACCGAGCGCACTGGGGATTGCACGGTGCTGCATGTGACGAAACACAAAGATATCGACGAACTGCGATGTATGATATACGTGTGGGAGCACAGTCGGAGTGTTACTAGTTCGTACCACCCACCGGATGCCGTATAATCGTACGGTGACAGGTAGACTGGCGCCCCGAACGTGGGCCCTCCGATGATGTTGTAAACTGTAGCAGCGGGTAGCGAGAGGAACAAGGTCCGCGTGAGGAGATGGAAGCGAGCGAGCAAGCGAGCGAGCGAGGACAACACGCCACAGAAACCGGCAAACCCAATAAGTGGACGCACAGATGTAAGAGCAGCAGCAGCAGCGACGCATTATAGAACTAGCTGCACGTCCGTTTAAAAAACTACAAAATACAACGTCAAGAAGAATGTGACGCGGAAAGGGGCACGACTCAGGTCCTAAGAAAAGGCTGACAACAGGATTTGACCTCGGCTGCTCCGCTTACCAGGCGTATGAAGCGCAGCGCCAGGCACCGTTACCGGCTGAACACCCTGAAAAATCATTTAGTATAATACCAAGGTAAGGGCATATAAGTCAGAGGCGTGAGCGGAAAAACTGTAGCCTGCAACACCGAAGGTATGCTCGACGAATCTATGGTACGCGAAGCAAGCATGTACAGGTGCCTATGGCGATGTTAGATGTTCGTTGTTCGCAATGCAATGTACAACTGCAAAGTTGGGTGGAGAAGCGCGCTAAGCCCGAAACCTATCCCCTCCCTTCGGCCCACACTGCGCACACCATCCCTTCCCATCCCATCCCTCCAAAAGCACCACAGCCTAGCGACTCCAACAATTCGATCCCATGGGGACGAAAGCCCTAAAGCTAATTGCTTTTCACGGAAGTCCCTTTCCTGGAGGTATTGCTCACCAGGACGAATTGCGGTGGCGCTGCGGACAACTGTGTGGCGCCCAGGCTCTGTGGCGGGTACGGTGCCGGCCCTGCAGCGCCCGGCGGCCTGGTCGCCAGTAGAGTGGCGCCAGGATGCAGGACGCCACTCACGGTGGTTTCACCTCCGTAAAGCTGCAGTTAGGCAGGCAAACGGAAATTAATACATGTGCGGTAGATTATGTATATATGTGTGCGCGCGTGTGTGTGCGTGTGTGTCTGTGCAGGGGGGGACGTTTATGGACAGGTAGAAGGAGTCGACAGGTAGGAGAGGGTACGCGGCAAAGCTGGGAAAGGTGGGAAGCTCTCTCTTTGGATGTTGGATGGGTGGATGCCCAAGTAGAAGGGGATGATGGGGGAAACGGATGAAGTCGATGATAGGCAAATGGCCGTTGCTTTGCGGATTCGCTCTTGCGCTTAGACCCCCTAACAGGGTCGAGTCCTCAGAGGGGGGTTACAGCAGCTGCACCGTAGTCCAAATATATAGGCTGATCACAGACATCACAGACTATGCAGCAAGGCAATTTTTTGCGCGACCGGACCCCGACATGACGCGACCCGCGCGTATGGGCCGAAACGAACCTGGGACGGAGGGATGAGGCCATAACCTGCGAAAAGGTTGGAAATGCAAAGGCACCAAGTTCGATGAGTTAACACGGTTCTGCGGGGCGCCCAACACGCGCGGGGACCGAAAGATGCTAAAGCTGAAGCTTCAGTTATCGCAAACCTGACGCCTAAGACACACCTGGCGCATAGACTGGCTTAGTTGCGAGCTGGCTTGGACCCCTGCTGCTGTGGCCGGTGGCTTGTCGCAACAATGCGAACCCTTTGAAAGTACCCCGGACAATGTCGTTCACCTACAAACAACAGTAAAATTATTATGGCGAACAATTTTCATAGTGTTCGTCATAACATACCATGGAAAGCGCCAGGCTAAGGCTCTGTGGAGTCCCGCTGATAGCAATTTTCGTCGGGTCGCAAGTCTGGTCAATTTGGATCTGCGAGGAAAAACAGCATTCAACAAATAATTGTTGAATACCGCGTACCTTCCTGAAAGCGCCTGAAGCGCTTTGTCGAGGGTAGCAGACAAACACTTACCAGTGCTCCAGTGTACGTCTGCAGCGCCTTAATGGTTTCTCCATTACGCCCTATTACGCGCCCTATCATGGACTTTGGGCAGGCAACAACGGCCGTCTGGCGCCGGCCCCCAGCACCACCTGGTTGCTGCTGCATTTTTCGGAATACCGGTTCGAGATCACCAAAGTATATAGCGCTGCTTCCCCCTTAAAGGTACTTGAGTCGGAAGGCAAGCCTTGTTGATGGATTCGCGTATCGCAGGACGGGCCGTTCGGACAAGACCGATAAACTATGCTGCAGACAACCCGGTAACAATGCGCTTAATTAATAAATCTACTACTATGTATTAAAAATGTATGTCTGTGTTGTGAAGCAGTCCTATCGCAAAAGTGTGTCGCTCAGCTTGCACGTAGGCGCCGTGGTGTACGGTTGCCCCAGTTCACAAACCTTCTTCTTGAGTCTTTCTCAGGTAGAGTTTCACAGTGTAGGTAAACATGTGAAGGATTCTCTCAGTTATCCTCCCTTTAAGGCCAAAGTTTAATTACGGGTGCCTACCGTACCGTACGTATTTTGGCGTACAGTGTGAGATTGTGACGTAGTGCCACAGCCATCCGAGGCGGCCTCGCTTTCCAAAGCAAGAAACACAAAAAAATATTTCTTCCCACCAAAATTTAATTTTCAAATTAGGAAAGCCTGTCATAGATAAGTAAAACGACTGTCGGCTGTAACAAGCAAGGGCAAAATACTACTATGGCAACGCGTTTAAACATAATGTACATATTTCCAAATTAATATCCTTATTATTTCCTTGGCCATTTTCGCTAACATTCCCACACAAGCCTATAGGAGCCTTCGCGACAAGGAACAGTGCCTGTCTAACATCGCCGCGTACAGTGTGCAAATTGCTTGGCCAATATTAGGATTCTTATTTCACCTCTTCCCACTTGGGAAATGCGTGAGCAAGACCTGCATGTGTGTACGTCGCTTCACTTTGAGCGATAGGACGCAATCACTCAGCAACTCCCTTCCCATGAAACCGATAATGCCAAGCCAGGGCCCATATGACGTTGACTAGTCAGCAGCTCCGCGTTATAACTGGAGATGGGGTTCACTGCTCAGATTTGTGACAGTTAACCTCCCTAACTTGGCGTCTGTGCGTAAACCTTGCAACCCGTTAGGGTCTCTAGCCGACTACAAACTCTAGGAATATATGTCCCTGTCTGATATATGTGTAAGTCGGAAATGCCCCCGGACATCGGTCAGCTGCTCGTCTCATCGATACGCGCCGGCGCCAGTTCAGTCTACGCCCGGCTGCTCTGGCAAGTCGGAAAGCGCAAGAATGCATCATTGTTTAAATCTTGGTATTGTTCTGAGTTGCAAGCAAGGAAAGAACGATGTTTAGTAAGGTCTGTAACCAGACGGGCATTTGCCTTTGTCTGCGTCATGAACCGCGGGATAAGGATCCGCTTAGTAGATTACTCGTTCGATAGTTATCTCAGTCCCCTATAGGGGACTGAGATAACTAGCAGCTGACTATGCCTGTGAAAATACGCTTTCCTTGCGATCGTTGTCCCGGACTTCAAATATACATCCTATCAGTACAAATAACCTATTGGAGATGTCGTGTGCTAGCACAAGCAACCCGCGGCCGCCTGTAGGGCATGTGCAGCGATCTCATTGTGTGGCAAACCCAATAACCTTACACACATATGAAGGCGTGGGCAGACCTGCGAAAAAAACACTCAGCTGGCACTTGAACGTGCAGCCTTATAAGGCAGCAGGGTTTTGTATCCAATACATCCATTCAGCCTGACCGTTTGATACAGCTGGCCTGAACGCCCTGCTACTACCTTGCTACTACTTCCATCATCGCTTTGATTTTCATTTTCTACCGGCCACTTTTCACTTTCCACTGTTTGTGAACATTGTTAGCGAAACGCCCGGAACGTTATGTATGTGCGGTGGTCCGATGCTTGTCCGAACCCGTAGCTATTTTTTTCCTTAAAACGAGATTTAAAAAAATCATGAAAGCCTGACACACACTTGTTTGCGCACATCAGATTCACACACGCCCTTATCCACTCGCGCTCCGCGGCATTATTGCTTGCCTTCCCAGCAAAGGAGTGAGCGACGAGCAGTTCATCCCCACGGCTGTGGCTGGACGAAGACCCCATGGGCCAGACAACGAGTGCACACCGGGGGCCGTTGTGCAGCACACCTGGCCCCATAAAGCATCGCCACTCGCACTGTAGCTGATTTTAGGTTTTAGCGAAGCTGTTATATGGCCAATCTGGCTGTCCTAGGCCCCGCGTATGGCCTTTCCTCCCGTGCAAATCTTATTACTGTTGCCACTTTTGCAATACCCCAATCCTGGACGGAAGCTTGGAAAATTCTTGCTTGTTGAACCAAACGGCCATCGCGATCGCCAAGCCAGCCCGCTGCCTTCTGAGTGCCCTCCTTCTGGTACAAGCGCGTTACCCAAGTGCCTTTGACCGTTACCGTGGGGTGCGTTAGGACCTAGGACTGCTGACACCATTAGGACTCCAAGCATTCCAGAAGCATGCAGCACTCTAGAGTGCTGCTGGGAAATATGAACTATGAAGTCGTAGTGAGATCGGCAGAGAATATGGCACGTAGAGCGCACGAACCGACCGGGCCGCAACTCAAAAAAAGTCTCAAGTGCGGCCAGGTAAGGCCGAGCTCGTAGTTGCTTCCTTGCGGCACAAGTAGCGGGCCTCTGTGTAATGACACCTGTGCCTGCTGCGGCTGGCTGGCTGGCTGGCTGTTGTCGCTGGCTGCAAACATGGAAGCACAGCAACTTTAACCCGTAGCCGCTGCGCTGCCGCCATAACAAGATACGGATAAAACCTCGTAAATTTCAAGCCATCAGTGACTACTGAAAATAAGTATTCAAAAATTCATTATAGGCAACACGTCCTTTTTAAACTTGTATGCAGTTTTGTTATATGAAATATTAATATAGCATGGTAATGTGTGAGGACTGAGATTAATAATGTACATTTAAAAATCTATAATCCGGGAAATGATTCTGGAGCTCATGCCGGCAAGCGCCATGAGAAGGGGGAACGGCGGCGCAAGTGTCCAGTGAATAAGCTAAGTAAACGTATTAAGACTCCAAAAGATCTATTAGCAGTCTTGCAGTCTTACGATCTCATGGTGCCTTCAAAATTCTGTTTGAATCCAGCAGTGTCATAACTTGTCAGAATAAGGCATCATCATAGAAATGGTCGTAGCCTAAACGGGCCCCTTGGCCATTTCCATCCGTAACCCAATAATCCAGGCACACTGCCATTCATGTGTTTTTCAATTCTATGCCCTTGTCGAAACGACAACGGCGTGGCGTCGGAAAAATAACGCCACGTTAATTGGTTGGGTACTTGTGGGGATCGCAGATAGATGCTCACGCCGGAGGTTATTGCCTGTGCGTAGCAGACACAAATACTTTCCTATCGACTCGCGGCCAAAGTCAAAAGCTAAGAAGCGCGTACCGGTATCCTATCCTTAGGTCAAGCGGTAACGTGCGGAAGGGGCGTCTGCTAGGTCGCGAGCTACTTGGGTTGCAAGCGAGGTAAGCTATCCTACATAAGGCCCTGAAACGGCTCCAACTAGCTAACCAGTGATGTGCAGAGATGAGGTTTCATGGGCTCGCCGCCAAACACATGCATTTGCTACGCTGCTATTTGCTCCGCTAGATACCCTGCTAGATGTGCGTCGTTTTGCATACACGTATACATACGTACCTACACGTCCTGAGCTTTATTAAACCTCATTGGCTCGTAACTAAGCTGCTGTTGCTGTTGCTCCGGACCGGGAAAAACCGGCGAGACGGCGCTCTGGCTGGGATTGGGCTTTAGTAGGGTCTGCTTCACGGACCAAGTTGAATTTCCTTTCTAGCACCGTACATCCTAAAATTCCCACGGCACGCAAGGCAGGCGGGGAATTCGTGCGCCCGGTGGCGGAAGCATTGCCGTGCAGTAGTGGCTGGGACTGCTGGGGACATCATCTCCATGGATGCAAGGCGGGCAAATGCCAGCGTACATGCCGTACATGCCGTACATGCATGTCGACGGGCCGCACAAGAACTTTGTGAACACGCACGCCCGCAGCACCTGGCGTGCATGCTATAGGAGTCCATGACCCGCCCGCTGATGGCCATTCTGCAGCAGTGCGCCGTAACGAACACACGTCCCTGGTTCACTGCTTTTTTTATGAGTCGTTTTTTGCATTTATTTGTCGATCTGTGTGTTAGCGCGAGTATTGGGCAGTTTTATACCTGGATAATGTTCGTTTCTGCTACGCCTCTCAAAAAAGTGAATGGCGTAAGCACTGCACGATGGCATTGGCATGATTGATGAGCAATCAAAAATTGAAAGTCAGACGAACGCGTGCCGTACAGCATACGAGCGGCGGTATATGCAGTGGAGGGAGGGTACTGAGGCGCCTGACTGGATTGCGCGGGACGCTCCCCTATCAGTAAAACGTAAAACCTGGCCGGCCATGCATCCGTACACTGACAAACGGGCAGTGGTTTCGGCGCGAAGAAACCTTGCTCGTTCTCGTGCTAATAACTAGGGGAATGCCTGCTTGGACATTCAGTTTTCATCTCTTTCCGTTGCCATTCGGGTGCAGAAGCGCCCGAACGCCCCTGAGTTGAGCTTAGTTTCAATTGACCTTTCCTCGGACGATATATACGAACGAGCTAAACGGGGAAGGATGGACTCGTACCGTACCCTCCGCGGACAGGTGGGAACGAAGCAGCTGCAGCGCACCACACACCCACAGCGCATTACGGTACTAGTGACTTCCAGCTGTGGATCTCAGAGATGATGTTGATGCTTCACCACAACTTTTGTACCAGTAGGATTGTTTCACGTACCCTACATGCTGCTGGGTTGACATTGACCATTGACGGCTGTTGTAAATGGTAAATTAGTTCTGCAACAACCTCAACAACGGCCGAATGGTGGAATTTCCCGCAGTTGTAGTAAGCTAGTACTGGTGCTCGCCTGCAGGCGATCGCGACAGCAGCTGCTGTGATGTTGATGGCTAAGTTGCGAGAGGTGCTACGGCATCGTAAGTAAACAGCTATTTAGATAAGAAGAGGAAAGTTTAACATGGACAAGCTTCGGACATTTAGCATATATCAGATCCCTCTTCGTCTTTACCGCGATCGATCCGTTTCATGTTATTCCCTGTCCAACATCAGCAAAGCAAAGCGCTGCGGGACCCTCCTCCCTCCCCCCGGGTCCCGTTACTGCTGTCACCATTCCCTGTAATATGTGTCGGTCACTTTTCAACATTTCCCCATATCCTCTAAGCAGTAGAATTGTGATAGCTTTCATTTCATTTTCTTGCCCAGAAGAATTGTTTGCCTGGATGGACGAAGGCGTGGACGGACACCGCGTTGAATCTGCGCAGCCGCAGGAGGCAGCAGCCACCTGCAGCAGCTACTGACGGACCCAGCAGAACCTGGCTTTCGCGTGCGTGGATTCAGACGGGCTCTTGCATGCAATTGATGATCAGCACCTTGAAGCACAATCCAAGGCAGGAAACTGCATAATTAAATTGTTTCGGATCATATGTGCTGTACTTCCAAGGTACCAACAGACCTTATCCGAATGAGGGATGTTCGAGGAATCGCCAACGAACGGCCGAGCAACTAGTATTAGTTACATAACAGCATTAGTAGCCTTTATTTCCGAGGCCGCTGAGATCATCGTGCCGACCGGAGCCACCGGCCGGTCTGCCGGCCGGCAAATACACGTACCGGGTACGCAGTACGCGATATATTACAGCGGACCCGGACCGAACGAATCGAGTACATCGACATGAAACTTTGGGGGCCCTATAGCTTGCACCGCGTGTCCAGCAAGTCGGGCCAGGGCGCACTAACATCACTGGGCTTATGCCCTCTCATACTGCGACGAACCACGGTAAAAGCAGCCAACACAGGGTATCCTGAGTCGATGAAAATCTGCGGATTGTCTGAAACAGGCGATAAAGCCCAGTTTTTAAAGATTTCACTTTTTGTAAAAATAATGTTCATACTTTTTGGTGAGGGTTGGCTTACATATCATCTGAAGGGCCGTTGCATCGTTGGTTTGATGTTTCCATCCTTTATTATAGCTTCCATGCATGCTTTGGATTATTAAAATAAAACGTGTAATAAACTTCATGGAAGCTAATGCCTTAGTCCTGTTGTTCACGAATTCAGCTTTTTGAGCACTTACACTGACCTGCACTGACGAGGAGCCGGGCCGGGGAAAGAAACCTCCTACACTCCGGTTTGCCACCTTAATATAGAGTACATGTAGACATGAAAAACTCTCATCTACTCCAAGACCGAGACCGAGCTTGTTACCGAGCCATAGTCAATGTCCGTCTTGTCGCGACCAGCCATGGATAAGCATAGATGGTAGCATGTTGAATGAATTCGGGAAAATTACCTGTTTGCATGCAGGGGGGCCATCCTAACCGCGACAAGCCTGATGCACGACCCGACCTGTTAAAACCGAGGCTTTAAAGTTTCTCTCCGGGAATTCACGAAATTCCCTTCTTGAAAGTCTATTTCACTGTAGATGTTTGTATCGTCAATTTATCCGCTCCTCTTCGCTGACGGAAAAGAGCCAGGAAAAAGCGAAGGCGACCATAAAAAAGAAAGAACAGTAATCATATTTAAAAAGAATACTGTCTACTTGCTTGAGCTTAACTGTTATGCCCGTTTCTAGACTTCTACGGAGAAGTGCGGTCACCAAACCCCCACGTGATTTAGAACTCCCAAGTCACCCATCAGGAAACCTTCCCAATCATACCCACCACAGCTTATGATACGCACATCTTTACGCACATACATACATACATGTCAGCATAAATCGTATTTGTGTTGTATTTATGTTGGGGGCTTTCCTTACTTCATAGGCCCATTCGACTTCTACTCAGCACCAGCACCGACAACCCCGGCCACTAACCCCCCTGCCCATACCCATTTTCCATGCCCAATCTCTGAACAACAACCCCCGATCTGGACTCCCCACCCACCCACCGCCGCGGCCAACCACATCTATCTATTTTAACCGTTCTGTTGGCCAAACCCCGCGTTTGGGTTATTTTATAGCCTTTCCACAGTTGAGTGTTACAGACATACATACAGAGGCCACCGTCGCTGTTGGCTCCGAGAGGCGACTTCAAAGTCTTACACTTCAGTCTTACAAACCTCCCTCCCTTACACCTTCCGAAGCCTGACCTCACCTTGTCTCATGTCACACTGCAACACGCCGTGTTACGATAGCCCTCGCACTAGGAAAACACATTAATATAGAAGAGTGCGGGTTGCATGTCGTTTACATTGCCGTACTGCCGTGCTGCTGTACTGCAATCAGTAATGCAATTAATGATAGCCAGAACATTAATAACAACAAGAGGGGCTCCTGCCAAAAAACTGAATCTGGCCGATGCGTTCGCAAACGGCCCCGGCGCGTGTAGTACATTGTACGACAGTACGACATGATATTGCAAAAATGACCCACATCACATGACTCCACACACGCATACACATACACAGAACTCCCCCGCACTACACATTTTTTTCCCGCCATTAAGTCGCAAGGTGAGCACAAACCGGTCAGCCCAACCCGCGGCGTTCCCCCCTCCCCTACCCCTCCCGTTGCAACCACGTCTATACTTGGTCGATCCCCCTTTAACCCACTAATAAACCCACCACTGCGCCGAAAAGCACACAGTCCCCCCGCCCCCCTTCACGTCCCACAGAAGTGTGTCCGTGCTTCAGTCTCACTCCACTCACTCAAAACACCTGAAAACAAAACAAAACACACACATGCATACACATACATACATTTACACACGTCATTGTAACGTGACTCTGACAAAACGACAAAAGGTGCCACCACAGGCCACCTAAGAGAAAAAACGAACAGACGTCATGAGCAAAGAATCTTATTAGTAGTTAGTGTCACACGTCGGGGGGGCCGCCGGGGCTGCTGCTCGTCCGTCGCCACACCGCCCTCACAAACACATCACTCAGTTACCCACGGAGTAACCGCCGACCCGCGGCGGAACCAACGACTTGCCAGGACCGCCGCCGCCGCTTGCGGCGGCGGCGGCGGCGGCGGCGCCGCCGCCAGGGATGTACGACGGCATCAGAGACGCCGGGGCGCTGCCCGCTGAGGCAGCTGGAGGGCCGCCGCCGGCGCCGGGCTCAGGCAGAGTCTCGCTCCACCTGTAGGACATAGTAAGGGGACATATGTCGTATGTAATGCCGGCTTATGACGTCAGAATGACGCCGCTCGCGATGATGGTGGCAGTGGTTGTTGTGCACTTTGTACTACTTTGTACTGGGTGGTGAAGCTAGCGACGGGGGCACCAACACCCCCCCTAGTCAACATGTGACGAACAAACATCCACGTCCTCCACATCGGACACGTCGTACCACAACCATCGGACACGTCGACACAAAAAATACGAACTACTAAACAACAAAGGGCAGCAACCGCAACAACAATAACAAATATTTCTATTCTATAAAAATCCTGTTTTCCGCGTTTTGTTTTCTCCGTACCATTTCGAACCACCTGTTACCACCGCCATGTCACCACCATGAAGATTGCCACACACATACAGACGCACACACGCACACACGCACGCACAATGCACAATACAAAGAATTACATCCTCGTTTTTTTCGACATTATCGACAACATCATACAGGTGATCGATTTCCTACACACAAAGCGCACATACCCACCATCCTCGGCCGGTTTTGGAGACGTTGGCATCGAAATGAATGACCGCCGAGTGAAAGCGTTTCAAAGCGGGGCGGTGCGCAATCGACAAAAACGTAACGCCAGCACGCAGGCACTCGCTGTACAGCCGGAGCTCGCCGTCGGCGCTCACAGCGCTCGTACACTCGTCCAGTACGGCGTATTGTGGTTTGTGGTACAAAAGCCGCGCCATCGCCAGGCGCTGCTTCTCCCCCCCAGATAGCACTTCCTGTGTATGTATGTAAGTACGTATGTACGTATGTACCAAGGTAGTGATGGAAAGGGAAAAGGGAGAGGGATTATTACTCCCAGGTGCAATAGAGGAAGTGCATAATTAGGCGGGGAAGCGAATCATCCAGGGGGAAGCGAATCAAAAGCATAAATAGAAAACGTTTGTACGATGCGGAATCACGGGGCGGGCGAGGCGGGGACCGGTAGTGGCAGTGCAACAAAGAATGAGTTCCCAAACCGCTCCTGAACCGCACTTCGAGCCGTAAAAGAGGAGGAGGAGGAGGAGGAGGAGGAGAAGGAGGAGGACGAAAGCCACACAAAAATCACACCGGGCTCTTACACCCCCCTTCCCCCCACCTTCCCAACTGTAAAACCCTACAGTCCCATCCCCCATCTTCCCCTTCCCCCGTTTCCCCTTGCCCTCGAAAAACAAGCCATCGCACGAAATGACACCACACGGCACCATCGGCGGATAGATACCAGCGCCCCCCTCTCCCCGGCGCCCCCTCACACAAGCATACACACATCTGACACGCACATACACACACGCACATACGCACTCACATTCCAGTTGTGTACGGCATCCCAGCCGTGCCTCGCCAGCAAGTACTCGAGCTCCACCGACCTGAGGCAGCTCTCCAGGGAGGAGTCCAGGTCGGGGGCCGCAGAGGGGGGAACCCAACCCGCCTCCGACACGAAGTGGGCGTGTTCTGCGGGAGTGGCGCCTCGCCATACAGACCTAAAACACACACGCCCCGAGGAGGGCGGGGGGTGGAGGAGGGGGAGGGGGGGAGGGGGGGAGGGGGGGCAGCGGGGTTTTGAGAAAACATGTACGGGTTTCAGACGAGAGGGGAAAACACACGGCCAGCGGGCATCTGAATACGTTGTTGACACGGGGGAGGTGGGGTGGGGTGGGGGGGAGGCGCCGGGGGGGGGGGGCCGGGTTTCCGACGGCGCGAGATGCGTCTAACGACCAGGGCGGGCGGGGCCCCTACACCCCTTTGTAGCTGTAGCTGGTTTCCTCGGAGGTTTCTCTCGTAGACCGCCAAGAAGAGCACCACCACCACAACAACAACAAAAAGGAGGAGGCAGCAGCACTCCGTCACCCCGTGCAGTCACCCCGGGGGTCAGCCCGTCAAGCTAGGGCGGGAGAGGACCCACCCGTCAACGTCCCCCCCTCACCTCACTCGGCGACGGTCAATAATGGGCATTGACGGTCCATAGGGCCCAACCCCCCCACCCACCGGCCTCCACGAATGCATCCAACCCCTCCCCTAAGCGCATTCGTGCGCGAGGAATTCACAGACTTGCGACTTCAAGGGGGGCGCCTCTGCACTCTGCTGCTCTGCACTTGATAGAAAACACACGTACGAACATATAGACACACAGATAAACACACATACACACATAAACGCGCGCCTATCACGCAACATGTTTTCTCACATTCCGCCCACCAAGCCTCTCGCATCTTTCTTCACCCCTCCCACACTTCTCCCCCTCCTCCCTCCTCCCTCCCCCCCTCGCTTCTAACCTTGGTGGGTTGGGATAGAGGATTTGGTCTCGGAGCGTGCCGGAGACCAGGTACGGCCTCTGTGACAGGTAGAACACCTTGCCCTTGGCGGGGGTGGTAATCTCCCCGGCCTGGGGGGGGAGGAAATGGGGGGGAAATGTAGGGGGACGGGGGGGACACATACACACGTTCTCGGGTGCAATCTCTCAAAGTCACTTATATCATTGCAGTACGGAAAATACACCTTAACACCATTCATTCTCCCCTCCCCTCCCCTCCCCTCCCCACCCCTCCCAGACACACATACACACACACACACCTGCAGCGGCCACAGCCCGGCCAGGACCCGAAAGAGGGAGCTCTTTCCGCAGCCGTTGGGGCCCATCAGCAATACGCTGCAAGGGGTGCGGGGGTTGGTGGGGACATGGGCCGGGGGGAGGAAAGCACACGGGAAGGGGTTGGGGTGGTTGGGGGGGATCAAAGACCAAAGCGAGGGAGAACAGGCTCAACTGGGCCGTAACGAGGGGCCCCTGCCCCTCCCCTGCCGTACCCACGTGCCGGGCCTCCCGAACGAAAAACACAACCAACAGCCCTTAAACCCAAAACCCCCCGCTCTTTCCCCCCTTCTCCCCCCCAAAAAGCCCCTCACCTCTTCCCCTGCAACACCTCGAAGCTGAGCTCCCGAATAAGAGGAGTGCCGTCCGGAGAGTCCAGAGCCACACGGTGGAACCGAAGCGTGTCGCCGAGGGACCGCTTGGGGGGCGGGGGGGGCTCGTACGGCACAACCGGCTCTGTGTGTTTGTACGTACGTGTGGCATATAAGCACGTTAGTCATTTGTGCGGATGTGCGGAGGAAGGAAAAGGCGGCGGAGGAAAAAGCGTAATTGAGCTTTTGCGTGCGGATTGATAATGGGTGGTGATGATGGTATGACACACATACATACACACATCTAACACCCATCCCCCACCAAAAAAACATAGCACACTCGCTCGTTAACCCCCCCCGCCTAACCCCCGGACCCCCCCCCTCCCCCCCCCCTCCCCCCGGACCCCCTCACCTCCCGGCGCATGGTACGGCTCCGACAAACCCAGAAAATGATTAACTGACACGTTCTTGCGGAACAGCTCGCGGTGCTCGGCGTCCTCTCCTACTAATCGCGCCACCTGCTCCAACAGCTCCGAAACCCGGGACGTGTGAGAGGCCAATGCAGTGACGCGCTTGTACACCAGGATAAGGTCGCCCACACCCCTGCGACGGGTTTCGGAGTACGGCATTTGTACGACATTCTTGGTACAATAATTTTTTTGTATGTGCGAGGTTTTGAGCACGGGAAAAAACGTGGACGGGAAATGGTGGGCATAGCTATGAGGAGCACTAAGGGGGAACTGATTTCGGAGGGGGGGACGGTGACATCTCCCGATACACACACATACCCATGCAACCGCGCTGTGTTTTCCCTTTTCCTGGCACACATACACGTAATCCCCCCCCACCCCCGCAAGCTCCGCTCCTTTCCCCCCAAATCAACACCTGCTCGTGTTTTGCAACAGCCTCATGGACCGGATATAGTCGCGAGTGAGCTCCCCTTGTGACCCACGGGTCGCGGGGTCGGCCATGTAGATGGGCATCGCGTACACCAACAGAGCCGTCACACTGGCAAAGTACTGCACGGCGGGGGCGAGGGGTGTACGCGAGTGTTTTCCGTGACAGAGGGGAAGGGGGAGGGAAAGGTTAAATAAAAACACCATGGAAGAGCGTGAGCACGCAATGTGTCTGTACGTGTATCTGTACGGAATGTGTCTGCATCTGCATTAAATGCGGTCACGCAAAATGCAGCCAAAGAGAAAAGGAAACCGCAAAATTAGGAAATACAGTTTCAGAAACACTGGGGGTTTATCTCCGACCCCAGTACCAGTACGGAAGTTTGTACGACAGTCGTACCTTTACAAAATACCCATCGGCCACTTGTTGGATCCCCCTCAACAGCGCCGACAGCCCCGTGTACCGCAACAGCCGCCGAAGATGCAGGTTGAGGACCAGCTGCTCGGCCGCCCCGGCGGGGGGGTCGTTGAAGGCCACCTCCTCGCTGCAGGTTACCAGGCGCTGGTGCGCGGCCCTGTACGGACGAGAACAAGAACAAGAACACGGCGCGTGTGTGTTTTGTATGTCTGTATGTGTGTCTGTATGTTTTGCTTGCACTCTTGCATCTAATTCCCCCACCCCATCCCCACAACACTCCACCCCAAGCACACAGATACATACATACATACATACATACATACATACATACATACATACATACATACATACATACATACATACATACATACATACCTGAACGCCCCACTCAGGGCGGCCTCCTGCGCCGTCATGGAGGCGAGGGGGGGCGAAATGGCCCGCAACAGGTAGGCAACCGCCACGTAATAGCCGTACAACAGAAACTGCCCGCGATAGCCCATGGTACGGGAGAGGCTGCGGGTGAAGAGAACCACATCCAGCAGCGGCTGTACCGTACAGTGTCGTACAAATGGGGGGGGGGCATGGAGGAAAATCGTTGGCGGGAAAGTCAAGGGGGGCCGGAGGGGTGTTCAGGGTTACCTACCAGCACTTCTTACAACACACACACACACAAAAAAAAAGAAAACACGACGCCGCGCACCCACACCAACCCATCCTCCAACCCCCCCCCGGGGGACCCCTGGGCCTCATTTCATCCCCACCCCCACCCCCTTCCCAACTACCTAACGGTCCGCATCAATCATCATAATCCCCACATCCTCCCCCGGTCCCCGCCCCCCCCTACAAAACACACATCCATTCCCCCCCCCCACTACTCCCACCTCACCTTGAAGGTGTGCGCGTACAGCTCGCTGATGGAGGCGGCGAACTTCTCCACGTCCTCCGTGATCCGCTGATCCGCGTGTGTCAGCCCGCCGAGGGTGCTGGCCGCGTAGTAGGCGCGGTTGCTGAGCGGAGGGAGGGAGAGTACACACACCTTATCACACAACGCCGTATCGTATCGTGTCACTTCACACATCACATCACTTCACAACACAAAAGTGGTTTTAACATTCGTCGCGTTGGTTCTGTAATTCTGCGATAGACCACCACTGCTGCTGTTGTTGCTGCTGCTTGTTGTACCTTCTAAGCTCTTTGCATTGTTGCAGCTTAAACACTAAAATACTTCTTCTAATCCTCCTCCCCCCCTTCCCCCCCCCGCGCACACACATACACACACACCACGTCACACACGGACCGGTCGCCTGGCATCGCACGCCTTCCCCCGCAACTGCTCCAAAACCACAACCTTTTTTTAAAAGCTCAAAGCTCTTACTCTATTACACACCTGCAGTACTGGTGGTGCAGGAAGGTGGTGAGCCTCTGTTGAAAGGCCAACTCAATCTGTTTTTGCATGTACTTGAGGCCGCTGTTAACCAGGGCCGCGGGCACACCGATGACGGAAAAGGCCCCGAGTGCGTGCCAGAACTTGTCAAACTGCTGACCGACCTGTGGGCATGTTGCGTGTGTGTGTATGTGCGTGAGGGGTGGGTGGGGGTTGGCGGGGAGATGATGGGGGAGATGACAAAACACACAACGCGTTGAGAAACCAAATGAGGTTTCGCCCCAACATGAGAAGTAGTTTGGACGAGGAGAGTAAAGTCAATGCCCCATTGGTAACTCAACCCCAAACCCTACCTAAAACCCTGACTAAAACCCTTACATAAAACCCTGACTAAAACCCTACCTAAAACCCTGACTAAACCCAACGCACCAGCGTACTGCCGCAGTAACCCTCTATGCGGCTGATGTAGTCGGTTAGTAATGTACGACTAACTAACAGACAGCCCTGTGCCAGGATAAGGCCCGCCTCCCGGCTCCAGGGGGAGGGTACGCAGCTGCACGGGGCGGGGCGGGGGGAAGAAATAGCCTGGATGGGTTTTTTGTGAAGTGTGTGTGTGTGTGCGTGTATGTGTGTGTATGTATGCATGTGTATGTGTGTGTATGTGCTTTCGGGGGGAGAGGGGAAATACGTACAAGAAGCAAAGAACCGATTGCAGGATGGGGTTAAAGAGCTTGATAGGGGATATGACGAGAAAGGAGAGGGAGGGGGGATAGGAAAGAAGAATCATGGATGAAAATCCGCCATTGCCTGATAGCCCGATGATACACAGAAAGGAAGCAAGCCGTACTGCAATGTGTACGACACCCGAGGCATGACGCGAGAAGGACGCTCGCTCAAACTGCACGTGTTCGGATTTCCCCCAAGAGCGCCCCCCGTTATACCCCCAAAAACACACACACACGCACACGACCCCCCACGTGACCCCACAACTCCCCCCCCCGGGGGCACTCACATAGATAGGATGCGCCACAAGCGACGCAGAAAGCGCTTATCTACGGCAATCCGTACGGCACCCGAAACCCGGCGGGAAGCTCCCCCGGAACCCCGGCTGGCCTCCACTTCGGCACATAGGGCCCGCTGCTGCCGCTGGGTGTGCCGTACAAGCTTGCGGACCTGTACGTACAAATTGGACAAATAGACATGCAGAGTGGCGTGTCGTACTCAAGATGCAACAAAAAGAATACATCGACAGCAGACGCAGACGCAGCAGCAGAACCACAAAGCACAAAAACAGTTGCAAATCCCCCGCTGAAAACCCTAAGAAGTTGCAAAGCTGCAAATTTCGCGCACGAGCCACCGGGGGGTGGGCCCGGGGGGCGGCTTGGAGGATGTGGGTTGGGGAAAGAAATACGAACCATGAACGAGTGAAGCTGCTGCTGCCAAGGAAAGGGGGTGGGGTGGGGGCGTCGACAGTTTCCAGAACCAATGCTGTAATTAGTAAAAGGTTATAAACAGCACTTGGGGGGTGGGGTGGGGAATCCAATACGGGTGGTGGGCAACCGGTTGGCGGTTCAACAACATATATGTTGTTGTAAACAGCAAACATGATAAAAAAAAGTCTGCAGCGGAACAGCTCGAGGGGCCCACGGGACGCTCCCAGGAAGAAGACGGAAGACGGGGAAAGATCCGTTGGCGTGATGGCACGTCCCTTTGCCGTACACACCTACCCCTGGTTGGGCTGTGTCCTTTCTGCGTGTCGTGTGTTTTCTCCCCCTCCCCGGGTTGGAGGGAAAAGGGAAGGGGGAAACCCCCCATCAAATGGCTGCAAACAAACTCATATCAAGCACCTTCTCCTGATACAGATTTGTTTATCCTGTGGTAAAGAAACTGCCGAAATCAAAACCAGGGCCAAGGATGTCGGAAACCCCAAGTCGAGCCACGTTGTGCATTTGTGACAATTGCAGCAGCACGAAATGCAGTGAGATGACTGGTTATGGATCAAAGGGCTCCTAACAAACAACTTCGCGGGGAAAAATGAGGCATAGGCGCGAGGAGAGGTTTTGCGATGTCGCTACGATGAAGGATTCAAGTCTGTGAGGAAAGGGTAAGAGACGCGGGAGGCGCTTTTTTTATTGGAAGCGCGAGAGTGATACTGTCCTAGGAGGCTCCACATGCAGGTGAATCGACGAGAGATGGTTCCAATGTCGCCAGCTCGCGATTCTTGGAATTAGTCCCCGGGTTCCAGTGGCCCAAAGATTGTCCATTTGGCTGCGCTCACCTGTGCACCAATGGTGATGCCCCCCGCGAGGACTGCAACCTGCGCAGTGCAAGGAACAACAGGCAGCATAAACTACCCGTTAACGTTGAACTCCGTACGTACAAGCTGATTATAGCGCTTCGTATATCTGGGTGAAGATTATGTATGCAAAGTGACTTCGATTTTGAGTTTAAGCTTTGTTCCAAGGCCATGTTCCGCACTGCTAATGCCGGGTACTGACCGCGATTAGGCGCTTGCGCGCCGGCGGTAACGACTGGAACAGAACTTGGAGGTCCCCCGCCATGGTTAAGCTCCAAAAGTGTTCGTGGTACCAAGTCTCCTTGGTTGTAAGCGGGTTTCAAGTTGCTCTGGCTCAGCCGTGTTGGCAGTTGAAGCTTGCTCGGCTAGGGGAAAGGATTAGAAATAGCTTTATGTCATTGCGACGTCCTGTTGGAATGGCATACGTCAATAAACCGGGTAAACCAAAGATAAGGACCGTGGGAACAACGCAAAAGCCCTGGTTGAGCCTAAATGCGCGCCCAGTATGGGGTTATGTGGACAGTATGTCAGCAGTAAGTATATGATGAAGTATAAGGTGGTATACAGCCTGATCGTAAGCCGCCTGCCTCATGACGGTTTGGAAGGCCTGCCTACGTGGATCGAATGCAGACAACAATGTTAAATTTCTGTTTGTCATAACGCTTTGTTCACACCATCGGAAAGACCTTTCCAAACCTTAAAAATGTATGCTAATTGGAAACATCTGAAACAGTGACTTTCGTAGCCTTCTATCGGGGAGACTCCATACCGCGGTCCGAAACACGCACCTTGGCTTTGCACAATCAATAAAATGCATAGCACACGTTTTACCCGAACATTCCGCTCCGGTATCGACCTTGCGCCGCCGGTCACGCCGGCAGTTGCACCTAGCTGTTCCTTCGGCTGCATCGCCAAGCCTGTGCCTTTTGTCAGCTCATTACGTCTTTCGGCAAGCAAACGCTCAGAGGATACTCACACAGAATTTCAAACACCTGGCACCGGCGAGTCAGCGCAGGCCAGCAGCTCAGCACCAGCATGGGGCGCAGCTCTTGCTTCCAAAGCTCGCAAAGCAAATGCAGCAGCAGGGCTGCGATCTCAACGCAGCCAGCATCAAGGCAAGACACTAGAAACCGTGGAGGCAGTTGCCGTTACTCCCCATGGTTCAGCGTTTGGCAGCAAAGGTTCCGCAGCAGGAAGTGACGGCCCTGTGGTTGTCGTACAGCCCCAAGAACCGTACCTGCGGCCGCAACCGCCGCCACCATCCTCATCCTCCTCATCATCATCACCATGGACATCAAGGTCTTCAACCACCTCCGGCAGTCGCGCTGCGCCGGCTGGAGAAGGTTCCGCGGCACCACCACCTTTGACCTTTGTACGGCCGCCTGGACGTCCCATGGGTCGTTCCACTGCGGCTGGCAGCGCCATCCCTTCATCAGCTCGGAAGACTCAAGCTGGTGCAAGGGGTGCCGGCCCCGGTAATGGCAGTAGCACTAGCGGCAGCGGCAGTGGGAACTCTGTGTCGTACGATCCATTTACCAAGGCCCGCGTCCCTACACGGGCAGGTACAGCACCTCCTCCGGCCGTACCACCGCCATGGCTAGCCACCGCCGCCGCTGCGAAACGCGCCAGCGCCGCCGCCGCCGCCGGCGGCGGCGGCGGCATGTCGCCACCGCCGCGATTCTCTGCGGCGCCGCCGCCGCGCTCGCGTTCCACGGCAATGCCCGACGCTAAGTCGACGCCGCGATCGGCCGCCAATGCAGCGGCGGCGGCCGCCGCCGCCGCTGCCGTCGCGGCGGCGGCGAAGCCACAGGCAGTAGCACCCGGTAGCACCGGCGACGGCGACCCGCCTTTGTCTGTGTCGTTTTCGCAAGTTATGGGGCGGCAGAAACGATCCAAAGGTGATGGCCAGACGGATCAAGATTTGGATCCAGCAGAATCCAACGTTGTGGATTACACCTGGGAGCCGGATCCGGATCTCGATGTGATTGAGGCCGACGCGGCGGCGGCGGCGGAGGAGGAGCGGCGGAGACGGGAGCTGCAGCGAGACGTGGCCCGGGAGAGACGGGAGCTTCGTGAGGCAGCGGAGGCTGCCGTACAGCGGTCGTACGCACCAGGAGCGCCGCCGCCGCCCCCATTTGTGGGGTCCGTCAAGGCGGAGCGCATCCCAGGTACGGCACGTACGGAAAAGGGCGTGGGTGAGTGGGAAAACAAGTGGCGTTGGGTTTGGTTTGGCATGCAGTACAGCGGCAGTACAGCGGCACATGGAGGGCAGTACGTCGACGTGGGGCCCCAAGAGAACGTACGACGCGCGTGAGAAGACGGCGGCGGCGGGGAAAAGCGGCAACGAAACGGTGAATATGTACGACAGCGATCGTGCGGCTGTTCTCCAAGGACAAGTACTTCCGTTCCACCCTTCGCTTGTACGGCACACGCTGGACGCGTTGCCGCCCAGCCGCTACAACAACACAAGGAATTTGTATGGTATTGAGCATAAATAGTACATTCCCATGCCTCTACGAATGGGCGTTACGTTCCGTACACATGTACGGAAGTACGGCGTTAAGTACTTTTTCCACATGGAATCCCAGGGCTCCAGCCCGGCCCCAGCTGCTCAGCGACTCATATGTATGTACGTATGCCTGTATGTATGCCTGTATGTATGTATTCCAGGTCGCGGTTTCGGCCTGGTAGCGGATGAGGATGTGGCGGCGGGGCAGTTGCTGCTGGTTGCCGTACCGGCGGTTTGCTCCCGGGGCCCCGGCGGGGGGCTGCCCAAGGTGGGTCGGAGAGACGGGACACGGAGGTGGTTAGAAGTTGTGGGTTTCAGTTGGTAGTTGGACCGTCGTCCCGTGGTTTCCAACCACCCTTTGCCGTCCAACTCAACGGCGCCGTGTCTGCGAGATAGGGGGGAGGGAAAGGGGAAGGGGAAGGATGATGATGGTAGGGAGGGTATGAGGGAGCGTGTTCATGATTTCCGAACAGGGTTAAGAATTTATTATTTCAGGGTTTTTGCGCGTTTGGGGGTGGGGGAATGGCCTGAGCCGAGTGGTGAAGGAGGAAAGCATGTCGGTGTGGGTTTTGTTGTACGTATGTATATATATATATATATAGGAACTATATCTTCTGTCCTACTATGTATACGTAGTACATATGTATACGTAGTACGACAGAAGATATCGTATCCGACAGTATATGTATACGTAGTACGACAGAAGATATATAGTTCCTATGCATTTCATTAAAACCGTAAAACCTTGAAACCTCCCATTCAAATTCAAATCGTGTCTGTCTAAGCCTAGCGCTACCCCCCTGACCCCCCACCCCCCGCCCCCAACCTTTTAGATGCGCCCGCTGCTTTCGGAGGCATTGCGATTGCTGCGTCTTGCCGACGGCATCCCCTCATCCTCTTCGTCGTCGTCGTCGTCTTCGAGCGCCGCCGCCGCCGCCGCCGATGGCGCCGCTCTGGCGTCGCTCTTCTGGGGCGCTCCGCGGCCTTCCTCCTCTCGCCCCCCCGCTGACCTGGCGGCATGGCGGGTACGACAATCGGAGCTGCTCTCCACGCCAGCGGCGGCGGCGAAGGCGACGGCGACGGCGGCAGGCAAGAGCGGTATGACGTGGACTCAACAGCGGGTGATGTCGTTGCTACAACTGAATTTGGTTGCGGAGGAGACGCAGGACGGCGCGGCGGCGGTTGCAAAGTGGGTAGTTGGTGGTTGCAATGTCGGTTAACCAGAGGCGCGAGTGTCGCGTTTTGGGGCGTGGGTTGGGGCGGTTTAATTAGCTAGGGTTTTAGCCCAGGGCAGTGGTGGAGGGGAAATGGGTTTTTTGCGAAGGGGGGGGGAAAAGCCCGGTTAGCCTGGTCGGGGTGAGATGGTTGTGTATGTATGTATGTACGTGCATGTGCGTGTGTGTTTTGCGGCCGGCTGCATATGGGCCTTCCTTCCTCCCTCCTGACTACGTGGCGCCTTCTTCGGCCAGCTGGATTGTACGACATGTCGCTCGCAAGGCCCCCCCGTTCATTTCTCCTCCACGGCCGCCTTCTCCGTCAGCCCCCCCTTCCCCCCACTCCTTTCCCCCCCTTCCTCCTCCCCACTTGCTGTTGGTGGTTTGCAAAGCCGGTTGGCTGTTGGGATCTTCACCCCTTGCATATAACTTCCCCCCCTCCCACCGCCTTCAAGAACGCCTACTGGTCAGTTATGCTTCTTGTACACTCTTTCCTTGGCAGCAGCTTCACTCGTTCGTGGTTTGTCTCCCCCTCCTCCCACCCACCCCTTTCGGACTTGAACACCGTGGCAGTTCAAATTTTGGGTTTCTCGCATCCTATGATTTCCCCCCTTTTCCCGGCCCCCGTATCCCCCCCCGTCATTCCCCCCCCCTCCCCATTCCCCTGCTTTCTCGAGGGTACTTGACTGAGACTTTGAATGTCGTACTTTGCAAACCGCCTCTTTCGCTGTTTGCGTCATCATGCAAGGTTTCCCCTCCTCTCTCTCCCCCTCCCTCGCATCTGCTTCATTCGCCAGTGGTTCGTCTTAAAAACCCCCTCCTCCTCTTCCCCCCCCCTCTCCCCCCCCTCGAAACCCGTAAAGCTCGGAGCCACTGACCTCACGTATGGGCGTATGGCCCGAAGTGGCGCTCATCAATCACTCTTGTGGGCCCAATGCGGTGGCTGTGATGCTGTACGACAGATTGGTGGTGAGGGGGATGGGGCGGGGGGCTGGTGGGGTGTACGGCAGTAGCAGTGTGGAGGTGAATGGATTGGGTTGTGTATCGTACAGGGGGAAATAGAGACGAGGATGGGGTTGAGGGGGAAAGGGAGGGAGGGAAGGGAGGTGGGTTTGGGGTGTAGGAAGTGGCCGACTGTATGTCACCGCGCGTGTGTGTGTATGTGCGTATGTATGTATGTATGTATGTATGTACGCTACATTTACTTAGCATCAACCTAACCAACTAACCGACTATGAGGCCCCCCGGTGCAGCTGATTCACATTACCACTCCGTCCTGGGGCCCCACCCACCCACCCACGTACTGCTGAATCCGGAACCGGTAACTGACAACCGTCCATTCATCTGGCAGCCGCCGTACACTCACACCCGCACACATACATACACACACGCACATCCCCATCTCCACACCGTTTCCACTTTTGTCCATACGTGCAAATACGCCCCCCGTGCGCTCACATCCGTACACACACCGTGTGTGTTTCAGGTTCGTGCCACCCGCCGTATCCCCCGGGGTCGCGAAGTGCTGCTCAACTGGCTGGGCTCCCAGGGCGCCCTGGCCCCCGCGCGGGAGCGTAGGGCCCAACTGTCACAAATGTACGACTTTGCATGTCGGTGAGTTTGCAAAAGCTCCAAGATATGTCGTACTGCCGGGTCTCGTCCACCAGGGGGGAGAATGGGTTGTATTTGTGTGAGTTGTTGGGGGTATGGGGGGCCGCGGTTTGTTTAAGAGGGGGTTGAGGGAATGGGATTTGGGTGTGGTGCAGTCGGGGGTGGGGGGAGCCGGGGAAAGGGCGAAACACAGTTTTATCGTGCCGCGCGATTGCACCGGTGGTTCTCGTGCGGTGGCTTCTCTCCCCCCAAAACCCCCTCCCCTCCCCGTCCCTCCCCAGCTGCGCCCGCTGCCGTCTGGAAGGTTCGGAGGCGGTGTCGCTGCCCTTCCTGTACTCGGATGCGGAGAGGGGCAGTGAGGAGGCGCTGGAGGCTATGGAGCATGTGGGTTTGTCAATACCCCCCCCCCCCGCGTAGCACCCTCGGGGCCTCAACCCCCCCCCGAACACATGCTGTTCTAGGAGTAAAACAAATACCGTGCTTTCCTGTCGTACCCTGCCGTGGGTGGCTCGGAAGCCGTGGCATCTCCAAGCTTCTCTCCCTGTGTAGCGTTTTGGTTTGGAGTTTGATCGTAGGGTATGTACGTCAAATGTATGTACGTCAGTTGAGCCTCTTAGAGTTTGGGTTTGGCAATATCTCTCCCAATGGGGAGCTCTCAAAACCCGCCAGATGCCGTACCCAGCCACCCGCCCGCACACTTCCTCATCCTCCTTCCCCCCTTCGATCCGCGATGACGTCATCAGTGCTGACGTCATCACCGCTGAGGACTCCTCCCTCACCCCCTGGGCCTGTTTCCGGACTTTGGACGCCACTTCCGACTTAGCTCATTTTTTTTGTTTCCTTGCATCATATAATTCCCCCGCTCCCCCAACACACATACACCCGCATGGAAACACGTGCAGACAGACAGACAGGCAAACAGACAGACAGATAGATTTTTACAGGTAGACAAACATGATATTGGCAGTTGTTTGTAATTTAGATTGTTGTACAGATGAAGACTCTTAATAATTAATATGAAAGTGAACACCTCGCTCCGAGCATTCCGGTTTCGGGGCGGGTTCAGCTCAGGGCGGTTTGGGTTTCTAGACCTTATCCCCGTTACCCCCCGCCTTCGACTGACACTGGAACACCCCCCACCCGCCATCCCCCCCCGTCCGGGCCCCATCCCTCGCCTGCCTCGCCATCACCGCCACCTTCGGGTGGTGTGTTACTGCTTTTATTCGTACTTTAAATGGGGAACCGTTTTGAAGGCCCTGCGAGTTCGAGACCTCAAATTGCTGACTTTGGCGCTACAGCCGCTTCAGGAGGCTGTAGCACAGCTCACAAGTGCCGTACAGCTGCTGGGTGAGCAGGTGGACCTCACGGGGGGTCGGGAGGGCTTGCTGATGGCGGCGGCGGATGGGGAAGACGACGGCGAGGAGGAGGAGGAGTACGGCAATGCTGGCGGCGCGCTGGCGGCGGCGGCAGCAGCAGCAGCACAGCAAGTGAAGGCGGTCCCGGCACGTAAAACACCGGCGGGGGCGTCGGCGGGGCGAGCGGGCAAGGGCCGTGGTGGTACGGCTGGTGACGAGCTGGGTCCTTTGGATCGCGAAACCGCGGTGTCTTGGCTGTTGGGCGGCATGCTGCCCCTTCATGCGGCCTGTGTGGAAGGTGAGTGGGCGGGCGGAGGGTTTAGGGTGTAGGATGGGGACAGCCTCTCATACTCGCTCCCCTCCCTCTCATACTCCCTCTCACACTCGCTCTCTCACTCTCCCCCTCGACCCGCAATCTCACAATGCGGTACACTGACAGCGACAATGCGGTACACTGACAGCGACAACTACTGGCCAACTACGGCCCCTTCACCGCCATCCCCTCTCCTCACCCCTCACCCCTCACCTCACCTCACCTCCCTCACCTCCCTCACCTCCCTCACCTTTCCTCACCTCACCGCCATCCCTCACCTCCCTCACCCCTCACCGCCATCCCTCACCTCACCTCCCCACCCGGCTTTTTGCTCTGTTGACTAACCAAACAGCCTACAGTTTGTCTCTTGTACATGTGTTCCCATATTTCATGAAGTCCTGTCTGACATGATCGTACACGCGTGTTGTACGGCTCTTCGTACATCGCAGCCCTGGCCTACAGAGCAGCATGGCTGGGAATGGACATAGGGCCTGGCTGGCACTGGCCCCAGGAACAGCCGATTGCCGTACCGGCCAGTACGGCAGCCCTGAGGGGGTCGGCGACGGCGACGACAGCCCCCCAGCAGCTGCGGGAGGGGGAAGGCGGTGTGGCGGTGATTGCGGTGGAGGATGGTGAACTGGAGGAGCAGCAGGCAGAGGCGATGGCGGAGCTTATCGGAAGCCTGGCGTCGTACGTGGATGTGATAGCACAGGCACGTGATGTCGTACACTTGTTGTACTTTATTATTATTGCGTTGGTACATGCAAGCAAGTTGGTGGTGCCGCTTTTGGTTTTAAAGGCATTGTGCACCTTTTCTCGGCCAAGGTGTATTTTGCTTGACGAGGCGTATCAGCACCACAGCAAAACAGACACTAATGTATTACTTGCGGAAATTTGAAATTGATATGTTGACTGTTGTTGTATGAGTATAATGGCCATGATGAGCAAGCAACTGAATTAACTGACGCTGTAGTTTCAGAGGTAATGGAGGTGGGCGGTCAATAAGATCAAAACCACGGGGGGAAGGAGGTTGCGGTGCTGCAGGACAGATGCATCATCCCCGTTGTCGGCAAATGAGAACGAGGAAAACGTAAGGACAAACGTGGGGGCAGGAATGCCCAAATTTTTGAAGTCCTGACGTGATCAATCTGGATTTCGACTAACCACTAACCACCAACCGCCAACCGTCCCGCCAAACCCGCAGCTGCTTCCCGGCTCTGAGATTCACACCCAAGCCGCCGCCCGGCTTTTAACTCTGAGCCGCCGCTACCTGGGCCCGATGGACCGAGTAGCCGGAGAAATTAGTACGGCAGTGTACGATGCGCATGTACTGCGGTATGGCAAGTTGGACGAAGATACGTTTGAGCGGCTACTGGCGGCAGGTACGACCTGGTGACGTGGGAGCGGTCGCACAAGCGGTATTAATATCCGTATATATGTATGTACGTATATATGTATATACGTACATGTGTATGAATGTATGTTGCGTAAAGATGTAGGCACCCTTCAATATGCACGCCTTCGTGAGCCCCGCTAATGCTGCGGTTGACTGCTGCTGCTGGTGCTGCTTTCCTTTCCTTTGTGGTGCTCGTTGCACTCCACAACACACAGGCATGGAAGCGATGGCCGCTGCGAGGCGCCGCGAGGCGGAACTGCGGCCGGAGCCAGTTGGTGGTGGTGATGGTGGCGAGTATGATGGTGTGGTGGAAGGAGAAACAGAGGACCTTGAAGAGTTGTTTTTGGAGGACCAGCGATTGCGCGAGGAGGCGCACGCTGCTGCTGCTGCGGCGGCGGCGGCGGTACAGCCGCCTCGGTCTTCTTGGCCGCTTGGCCGCGGTGATGATGGACAGGCGCCGCGCAGGGTGACGAGGGCTGCGACACCGGTAGTGCGGCAGCAGCAGCAGCAGCAGCTGGAGGAGGAGGAGGACGAGGAGGAGGAGGAGTTACCGGATGGCGTCACTGTAGCCCGTGGGCCCATAGCCCATGGCGGCAGCCCCCCTGGAGCTCGTGGTGGTGGTGGTGGAGGTGGTGGTGGCGGCAGCCGCCGCCGTGCTGTCCTGGCGGAGGCCGAACAAGACCTGCTGAAGGTCCTGGACTCCTCGCGGTCACGGAGGTCGGTGCCGTCAGTGCCGTCTGGCGCATCAGCACCACCGCGGATGAGGAGGCCAGCCAGCGTCGCGCCGCGGGAGGCGGCGGCGGAGGAGGAGGACGCGGACAGGGGAGGTGACGATGTAGCCGCCGCAACTGTACGGCGCCTCTTGCGGCGAGATGAGGCTCCGAGAGCTGGTCTGTCAGCGGAAGGGTACGACAATGGTGCGGCGGCGGCGGCTGATGTTAACGAAGAAGAAGAAGAGGAGGAGGAGGAGGCTGGTGGTGGTGGTGGTGGTGGTAAGGCGGGGAAGTTGTCTCCGCAACAGAAGTTCGAGTCGTCTTTGGACCGACTGCTCCAGGTGTTCCCAGGTCTCTCTCCTTCAACGACCACATCCAACCATGATGTCGACGACGACGAAGGCGATGATGACGATGATGATGATGATAATACTAGCGCTACTGGTGCTGCTGCTGCTGCAAGAACTATCCGACGCCCAAGGCGATAGGGGATGCTCTTTTTTTAAGTGTGCGCTACGCTATTTTTTTGGCTATTTATGTTAAGGTTCGCCGATGGTGGGTGCATCAAGATGTTAAAAGACAGTTCATCGCTGGTGGCTGGTGCCGTCGCAGCTTTCGTCCCGGGGAAGGTCAGGGGAGGTTGGACAGCGACAGAAGATGCGCGGGGTGAAGGAGTAGCAAGTTGGCGTCGAAGGGCAGGAGGGGGGAGGCCTGGTGCGGCTTCAGGCATTGATCTTGCAGCATTGCTCTTGTGTGTGTATGTATGTATGTATGTATGTATGTATGTATGTATGTATGTGTGTATGTATTGTGTGTATGTATTGTGTGGTCTGTGCAAAGTCAAACTGAAGAATACACAGCCGCGAGCCAGGCCCTGGCACGTGTGCACGTATCTGGCGTATCACGGCTGTGTGATAAGAAGTAATATCGGTAAGTGGCGGCACAGGTGGTTGTTGTTCTTATGATGGTGCTTGGAGGGGCCTCAACACATGTATGAGAGAACAGACACACACATATTATATAGGAAAATGAACATATATATATAGGGGAACCCCTTTAGGGGAACTATATATATATATATATATATATATATATGTGTATATATATATGTGTATATGTGTATATGTGTATATGTGTATATATATATGTATATATATATATATAGGGGAACTATATGTATGTATGTATATATATATATATATCGTAACCGCTTGGGTTCAGTTGATTCTTTCATAGCTGCAGGCGGCGTCATGTTCCAGTGTTACAGCTCACTAGCCAGCCAGTCAACCAGCCATGCGGGTGCGAGCACAGATACACACACAATGCTTTCCACATTCTTCACTTAGGGTTGGGGGAGGGGGATCCCACGTTTCCCTCCCGCTCAACATCATCTCGTCAATCAGACGGCTCACCACCGTTAATTCATAAATTAAAACACCATATACTTGGTTTTATTGTTAGATATACCCTGAATGATCATATGCACTAGCAGTTACACAACGGATATAATGCGTACAAGCATGCGGACTCAACGGACGCCGTACCAGTAGCACACTTCCGCGCGTTCACGCGTCCGGACAAGGTGAACACCACGGAACGGCGTCCGTACACCGACGATGCAGGGAGGAAAAGGGAAACGCGCGGGAAGGTTTTGGTTGTGCGGTTTGAATCCTGCGGTTTGAATTTAAAGTCAGAATTTTCGCAGTACAAGTACGACACTTGAGAACGACATTGCCGTATACGTCAACTCTTGCGTCCACCAAACCCCGCGCAAAAGGACGCGATCCACAATTTGATGTTTTAATAAATCCTAGGCCGCGCGCGCACAATAAGTGCCTGTTAAGGATTGAAGAAAAGAAAAGAACGGAAGGAAGGAAAGAAGTCGGCCAAGTTCTCTACACCCAGATCCTCAATTGGAATGGTTTAAAATCCGCTTAGAATCCATTTAAATCCTCGATTACTCATTCCTTAAAACCATACCGCATTCTATGCCTCGCAAAAAACGAGCACGCGCTGCACAATGTGTTGAAATTTGTCCAAGGCGGGTTAGGTCTTGCTCACGGAAATGCACCCCCTGCAGCCCACAACCCTCATCATCCAGTCAAGTTTGTGTGACGTATGACACATACATACATACATACATACATACACACCTCATTGTCGTGATTGGCTCCATAAAAGCCTAGACAAGACAAGAACGACTCCACGAAAAGAAGTACAAACTGTTTTAACGACGAGGTTTCCCAAGCCAACTGCGCTTTCCCCAGCCAACTACCAACCGCCAACTGCGACTAGATGCACTTCATCTCCACATCCAGCCTCTCCCTGGAATGAGGAGACACCATGACGGGCCCGCATAAGCGGAATGCGCAGTCAAACATACACACATACATACATACACTAGGGTTTGGCACTACTGGTAAGGCGCGACCATTGCCCCCGGGAGATCCCGGGATCGATACCCATTAGGGTCAAAAGTCCTTCCGATGGTGGAAGGCATTGCGCCCCTAGTTGATGGACGGTGGTGACCTGGGAATAAGTTAACCTGCGAGCCGACCAGGAATGGAGTTGGGACGCTGTCGACCCGGCAGATTCCATTGGATGCTGGTGGTGGGTGCGGAACCTGAGCGATCCACTGAGAAGTTATCTAGGGTGACTGGATGAGGATGCCCCGAAATACCGCGGAAGGCAGGGTTTCGCAGGGTAGCTGCCACGGGCGAAGATACACCCCCCTATTTCACACATACATACATACAAACATACGCATACCCGCACACACACACACAGACGAAGACCACCCCACGATGATGGGAAGATACCCCGCAAACCACAGGTGCCTTCTGCATAGCTCACACAGACAGACAGACACACAGACACACAGACACACACACAACGTTATCTTCTTGTTCCCATTCCGCGCTGCAAATGAATCGCTTTTGATCACTTCTTCACCAAGGACCGCCGATTGTACGACCATTGAAGAAACACCGTCGTACGCAGTACAGCATAGTCCACGGCTGTGAGCCCATTAACAAAGAGGAAGCTCCGTGAGCCATCGTCGTTGCCATCACCACCACGAGCAGCGCCATCATCACCGCCACAGCGCCACCGGCACCACCAAAGTCCCTTTCTTCCCGCTGCTCAGTTTTCAGTAACACACACACATGCACACACACAAACATACATACATACACGCACATACACACCAAGCACGCACGCACATACAAAAATACATAAAAAGGGAGAGTGAGCGGCTGGAAGCATCAATAAGAACTCACAAAAATCATATTACTACACAATACCACAATACATATCGTTATAAACCACATGTGACGTGTTTGCACGCGCACCAAAGCCCAACAGCGAGGGATGCAAAAGTACGGCAGTCTGTTACCTGTCGTACCATGCAAGTAAGGGCTCAAAAGCCCCCAAGTGCCATCTCCCCAATCATCTCCGTATCCATCCCCGTACTGCACCCTTGCGACAACCACCACCACACCATCATCATCATCATCATCATCATCATCATCATCATCATCATCATCATCATCACCATTATCATCATCATCACCATTATCATCATCATCATCATCATCATCATTACTATCATGCCCCATATAAAGGCAACTCTGTGTTCTTCACATCAACTCATGATGAGAAGAAGCGCCGTCCTCACACCACCCTGGGACCCACGGAATAACAACCAACAGACAGACAGACAGACAGATACAGCTGGTCCTATCCCCATGCAGGATTTTCGACACCTCCACTCCGAGAGCCCGCCCCCGGGGAAGCAGCTGCATCAGCAGAGCCGCCGTACAGCCGCCAGCTCTTCCCGCTGTATCTGACGCTCCAATGCCACGCGGCCGACATGAACCGCGGCGGCGCCGGCGGCAGCATTGCCACCACCACCACCACCACCACCACCGGCACCACCACCACCACCGCCGGCACCGGCACCACCACCACCGCCTCCGCCTCCGCCGCCACCCGAAAACACCGACATAGATCGAGACACGCTGGCCGGCCTGGAGTGCTGCCAGCTGCGCCGGGGGCCCGCCGTCGCGGGACGTACGGCACCGCGGGAGCTGCTGCTACTGCCGCTACCGCCTCCGCCGCCATGTCGCCCGGTTGAGTAGAGCGGCCCCATCATCTCCTTGAGCGCTTCCCCCGCCGGGGTGGCGGGATCCACACGGCCCGGGTACTGGAGCGGGTTGTCCTCGTTGAGCTGTGTTTTGACATGTACGTACGTACGTATGTAGTTTTGCACGTGTGGACGTGTGGGCGTGTGTGTGTGTGTGTGTGTGTTTAGGGCAGGGCGGGGAAAGGGTATCGGGGCGGGCGGAGCAAGTCAACGGTATGCCTGACGGTGGCAACTACTTCCAGTCGCAGTCTTATAGACTACAGCAATTATGCTGATTATTCATACTGGTGACCGTTCTGGATAGGACAGTACGACAGTACGAACCAAGTTTTTCGGTCGTACCTGGTTGACAACAGGAGACGCCGTTTTCGCCCGGGCTGTAGCTTCCGGGCTCCCACCCAGCGAGGACTTCGGCCTGTACGGCACCGCACGGCATCATGTCACGCGGAAAACAAACCTAGATTAGAAAAAGGAAGAGAAAAGAAAAAGGAAAAGATACACAAAAGCAACATACATCAACTTGCGAGCTAACCAGGAACTAAGTTGATGCGCCGTTGATCCGCTAGAATTGGTTGGATGCTGGTGGTGAGTTGCCGAACCCAACGAATACATTCTGAAGTCGGATGGGGTGACGGATTAGGGTGCCCCTCTAGCAGGGGAGAGCAGGGACTGCCCCGGGAAAGGGGGCCGCTGGCGAAGTTAACCACCCTGTAACGACATACATACATCTATGTTATTGCTTTAGTCATACTATTCCTTAATGCGTTTCTACAAAAGTAAAAAGCAACGTATTGTATTTGACAAAAGGCAGCGGCTCAGAGATCTTTTCAGTAATCCCCTTTTGGCTCTCGTATTGGGCTCAGTTTTGCCAGCAGTACGCCGCGACAAAATTTAATCAGGACTTTGCTGCTAAGGTTGCCAGTTGCCTGTTGCCTGGAATAATCCTTCAAAACCTGGTGAAAAGACTATTCGCACGCAACTAAACGACGACTAATTCCCCATTTCGTGACGTCGTTATCCTCCACTTGCCCTTCAAGTTTAGACCAATTTCAGTTTAGACCCTCGACCACGAAACAAACATCGACATACACACATACATACACACATACACACACATAAACACACACGCGCGCGCGCACATTTATACATTCATCACAGAAAGATTAAAAAGGTTAGAAAACCCGTCAACAGCCAACGGCCAACAGTAAAAATCTTAACGTGGACAAAAACACACTCCACCCTCTCCAACCATCTTATAGCGCCGCCCTCCAGGAGCGCCATCCTAACCCAGCTATGAGCCTTACAACACCGAACACACCAAACCCTAAGCACCACCGCAAACTTCCCACCCACCCCCTTTTTTTCTTCCGCATTTTACTTTAGTTTCGGCGGCTAGGTACTTAGAGTTCCGACATTGTCATGACGACTACTACTACTACTACTCACCGGTGGCAAGCGAGATTGTATATAACTATTCTCTAGCGCAGTGCAGTAATATTGCACGGCCCGCTGGCCCGCTGTGAGTCTCTACTCTTCATGCGTCTTCTGGAGCCCACTGTGACCACCACCATACACACACACCCACACACATCACCGCGAAGACCCCTCCTCCACAAGTCGTGACTGGTTAGTTAGTTAGTTCTCGTTGCATAATTCCGTTGGGTGTTGGAATCAGCTTCACTCGTTCACGTGGTCCCCCCCCTCACATACACACATACACACCCCACCCCAACCCAACCCCCACATCACCGCCGAAAGCCATCCAACCCTAAAAATGCAACACCTACCTGAGCTTCACGACAAGTGCCGCCTCCACCTCCGGCTCCAGTTTTCGCCCGGAGGGGGGTATGTGGCCGCGGTGGTGACCTTTACCCACAATGAAGGATGTCGGGTCTGTGCTGGGCTGGTACTCCCGAGCAGCCGCCGTAGGGCCTCCGGCGGCGGCTGCGCCGTCGGACCCGACGCGGCCGCCAAACCACAACGCATGGGCCTTGTACGGAAAGTACGACACATCGCATACGTCACGGAGCTGCACATTGGAGCCCTCCATGATGGCGGCGGTGGAGCGTTTCTGGAGGTTGCTAGTCGGCGGCTCCGGCGGCCAGTGCGGGCCAAAACCCATGCCGTCGTACGACTCTGACGCGGCCGCCGGCGGCTGCGACGGCGGAGAGCCCGCCTTCGGCGGGCCCTGGTCCTGTGCCTGGGAGCTGGCGGCGGCGGCGGCGGCGGCGGCGGCGGTTGCCTTTGCCGCTGACGGGGGAGGACATGCAGCAGCGGCGGCTGGGACATGCACCGGCTGCGGCTGCGGTGTGTCGTACAAAATGGGCTGCGGCGCACCAAGCAGTTTGAAGACGGCAGCGACGGCGCCGGCGCCCTTTGGCCCGCCGCCGCCGCCACCCGGGGCAGCGCTGTACGGCCGCCGCCGCTGTGATGAGTTCTCCCGTTGCAGCTGCCGTTC